ACTTTAACTATTGGCCCCAAATGCCATCATTCACTTATGTTCTTTAACTGTCAACTTTTAATACAAAAATACCTTCAAGCTGATAATCAAGAACATTTACAGTGACTTACAAAACTGACAATATTTCAATGCTACACAAAACAGTTTTTATACACAGCTAAAGTTTTAAAATTCTTTGCTGGCACTTGATTTTAGAGTTGATAGACACTGTTAACTACTGATCTCAATAAAATACATTTTTTAGTTTATACATATTTTCAGACCGAATATTACTTCACAAAAACAGTAAAGAATAGAGATCACTTCCTGCTGAAGAATCCTCTAAGATAAACCCTAAAACTAAACACCAAAATATTTTAGGGAAGCAAATAAACTTTTTAAGACAAGGCATGAACAGTGGATAAAAATTTATATTCCCCAATTATATGTCCAGTGAAAAAGGGTTCTTCCTCTGAGTCAATGAAGCATGTTATCAGGTATAATAAAAACTATAAATTTATAAAGCAAGTTGCCTTTTGTTGTTGTTAGTTTTTGTTGGCTGGTTGGTTTAGAAAGGTATTTAAGTAATTGGTAACTCTACTGCTGGATTTTTTTCAAGATATAGAAAAATTGGTCACATTAAGTAGATACACATTTTATTACTGTTGCTCCCCCCAAGATAAAAGCTAAAATGCCTTTAAGTAGTGGAATCCTGATTTTTTTTTTTTTTTTTTTTTACTTTCTGTGACCTTGTAAGGTCTTTCTACACGTTATCAAAATGAAATCACTATTCAGTAACCTTAATACATATACCCAATTTTTTTTCTTTGCAAAAATGGAGAAAAGCAAACTAAATTCTAACAAACTATTTTCAGCTTAGAATACTAAAAACTCTCTAAAGATTTTGTAAATCTACCACTTTCATTATTCTGAAGGAAAATATACACCTTCAAAAGCCCTCAAACAATTCCTAGTCCAATTTTCTGTTACACAAATTAAAAAAAAATTGTGGCACTGTAAACAGAATTTAAAAATTAACTTCAGACTAAATTAGAATAAACAAAATATAAATGTACTATCTAATCAAAACAATGAAAAAACCCACCAAGCATCCTAACCAATTATGTAGTTAATTTTTGCACATTTTAATTTTAGACTTTTAGCACAGTAAATTATTAACTAGGTTGATTTCAGAAACTGTTTAAATTTTGTACATTAGCATTTCAAAATATTACCCTTTCTAAACCAAATCTGCAGTCCTGATCAACTTTTTTTGTTTTCAGGAAAAAGGGTATCTTTTAAAGATACATTCCACATAGTAGAAACATTTGTTTTGAAATATTTACAAAGAACCCTGCTGATCTGGTGCATTTCGCTGAGGTGCTACCTGTACCCAGACTTCATCATCAGAAAAAGAACTTGAACTTCCTGACTCAGAGTCCAGCTCACTGAATCCATCTAAGTCCCATTCAGTACTAGACTCACTCCGTGCATCATCTTCCTCAGTGATGAAACTCTGACCAGGTTCAAGGCAAGAAGGATAAACACGAGCACAGAGACAAATAAAGCCAGAGTCAAACTGCAAAAGGCCTAACATGGTACCTATGTTAATCCATTGGTCTTCCCTAGTATGGTATTCATACACAGTCACCCTGTTCTTTTTCCATTGTGGGGTGGTAGAAGTGATAAGTAGTAACTTTTGATCATGATTAACGATCTGATAGTTGTGGGTCTCTGAGTCCAAGGGAATATTACTAATCTGTCTCCATTCTCCCCTAGCTGGGTTGTAGACCTTCATGACTGGGATGTCACAAATACAATAGATCTCATCATTGAAGACACATGCTTCCTGAAAGTCACTGCGTTTAAGAGATGCACAGTTCAGCCACATATTATGTCTAGGATCATAGCAGAGCATGCGCTTACTGTTGACAGCGTAAAGATAGTTCTGAACCACTATTAGTTCAAAAGAATAAAAGGAGTGGGGAACAGGAGCCACCAGTGCCCACTGGTTCCTCTGAATACTATAGCATTCCACTTCCTTCAGTTTGACTCCTGTAATAGGGTCTCGCCCACCCAAAATGTAAATGTAGCCATTAAGATATGCCACATCCATGCCCTCACGACACAGCAAGCGGTCTGCCAGTTGCTGCCAACTATTTTGGGCTGGTTTATACACCCAGAGGTCTTTCCTGGGCTGGGCAGCTAGGTAGATGTCATGGTCTGGAGAGACACAGACAGCTGAGGAGGTGATAGTTTTGGTGTGAGCCAAGCTGGTCAAAGGTGATGGCATTGTGTAAATGTCCCCCGAGTATGGGTCATAGCAGAGAAAGGGATCTCTGGGATGTCCAAAGAAGATCACCATCTCCTTGGCACACATACCCAGTCTCTGAGGTGGATTATCTGCTACAGATACAACAGAACTGCTGCTGCTGCTGCTGCTGCTGCTATTTGGCTTTGGCACTACAGATTTGTATAGCATGTCACCACAGCATATCTGCAGGGCCCCTTCAATAATGTCTGGGCAGTATTTCTTCACAATGGGCCTAGTTAGCAGTCCTTCCAGGTAGTCCTGATCTTCTTCAGTGAAGTGTGTCCAGCGGACACACTTGAAGACTTCTGCAGCACTGGGACCCCGCTCTTTGGGAGCAGCCTCGAGCCACTGCACAGCCACACGGCATACAGTACGCTCACTCTCTATGTCCAGACTATCCAGGCGCAGGACTGTCAGTAGCTGGGCCAGGGTCAGATCTGCTAGAGTCTCCTCCCGAACTGAACCCATCCTGCTGAGCTGCTTGAAGTTGTGGGCTATAAAGGACTGGGCCTGTGATCGTAGCTTGTGATGGTCAAAAGCATCGGCAAACTTGAGGATGGCAGTGCAGTTAGTGAGGTCAAGACGGCGGGCTAGAAAGGAAGCACAGGCTTCCCGCACATACTCCAGCTGAAGCATGTCGGAGGCAGCATACAGGCGCTGCACGTTGGCCTCACTCAGGGACACACGACCCGTGTAACAGTAGTCGACCAACACCTCAAAGGACTCTGCATCCACATCATGCATGGTCACGCTTGCTTGCTGACTCTCATACATGCCACCTGTGAACATGCTCTTGAAGTAGGGGCATGCAGCTGCCAGCACGTTGCGGTTGCAAGAAAAGCGGCGACCCGTGCCAGGCCCGCTGCCAGGCGTCACCACTTCGATGGTCACATCACATAACAGCCGCGCGTCGTAGAAGGACTTCAGCTGCGCCAGCAGGGCTGCAGAATGAGCTGTGTCCTTTAATTCCTCAGGGCCCGTGAAAAAGGCCGAAACAGAAGGCTTGGAAATCCTCTTGGGCCGCCTTCCACCGCGGGGGCTGGCGAGGCGACGAGAGCGCGGAGCGTCTTCCCGGGACTGCATGGTGGAGATGGCGGCGGGGTGCTGAGGGCGAGAACGGCTGCGGGCACCCGGCTCTGGCTCCTCCTCAACCTTCGCTCGCTGACGCTAAGACAGAAGCGTCCCAGAATAGACTGGCCACGCTTACTAACTCAACCCTACGCTGCGGCGCCGCCTCCCTTTATCGCGTAGACAGTGCTTGACTCACCGTTTCCGTTCTGTGCCCTTTTTCCACCTCAGCTTGCCCTTACACGACCGCGGGCTGGAGCCTCAAGGACCGCCACTGCCGCGCTGGCGATACCGGTAGGCACTCGGGAGAACTACCGCTCCCAAGTTGCCTTTCGTGCCTCAAAGCATGCTGGGGCCCTGCAGACTCCCAGGCGGAGGCTGACGGACAGAAGTCGCGTGGCATCTTGGGAGTTGTAGTTTGTGTAATGCTGCGAAGTTTCCTGTCGTTGATTGATGGCATTAACAGAACTAAAAAGCGTTAATTTCTCTGAATTTGATGGTTAAGAGCACTGTTTTGAAGTCCAGATTTGAAGGCTCGTTTTGTTATTCACTGATTTTGTGACTTCTCTTTGAAATTGTTTTATCTTCTTTGTAAAATAAAACAATATCTCATTGGTTGTGTGAAGACAGAATGATATAAATTACAAAGGATGTTTTGATTTTTTATTAGAATAATTAACAAAGTCCTTGACTTACCTAGAATATAAAGTAAACCATTTTTTACTTTTATTTTTGAATTTATTTAAGGCATCTACTAATTTGAAACCATGAACCTTAATATTAATAATAAAAGCTGTTAATATCTAAAAAGATAACTTACAATTTTTAATTGTACTGCTTTTGAAAGTTTGTAAAGGTATTCACAATATTTTAAATATTAATGGAGATCTGTAAATCCATTAGGAAGTTTTAGATGACTGAAGTTGAGGTCTCAAAGAAGAACTTTTAGATGACCTCAAATATAGAAATCAGGCATATAAACATAGTACTTTGGTTCTTTCACCAAATTACTATCTCTGAGGAGCAAGAGTATTTTCTTTTTTCTATCTCTACTCTCTCTTTTTGCAATCAGGGTTTCCTAAGTTGTTGAGGCTGGCTTTGAATTCACCATCCACCTTTCTCAGCCTCCCCAGCCACTGGTATTACGGGGGTGTGCTACCCTGCAGGGCGTGGTGACTCATGCCTGTAATCCCAGTGACTTGGGAGACTTAAGGCAAGAAGTTCGAGGCCAATTCTGCAAGCTCTAAGCAATTTAGCGAGAACCTGTCTCAAAATAAAAATAAAAAGGGCTTGGGACATGGCTCAGTGGCTGAGCCTCTTTGGGATCAACCTGTGGTTGGGGGGGGGACTTATGTTTTCAAGTTGTATGATATAACACCTTTCACCTCGCGCTGCTAATCTACCAATCGATTGATGATTCTCCAATTGCATTCATTAAGGAGTTTTAGTGAGAAATTTAAATCAAAATATTTCAACAAACCCATCTTGTACTGTACAAGGGCACAAAATACAGATTTTCAGAGTTCAGTATTCATACAAGCCCTGACATTCCTTGAGTTAATGTAATACAGGCTATGATGCTTTACCCAATAATTTAAAAATCTATTAGTTAAATTATCAAAAACAAGCATTTAGAAAATGACTTTTTTGGAAACTTTTATTTAAAACCAATGACTGCTCCTGCTGCTAGTTTTCCATGAGTTACAATTACCTTATGAAAGAAATTTTCAGTAATGCATGCATAGGCAAATTACACATAGCAGGAGAATAACCCTCAACATATTTTCTAATTCTTTCTTATCAGCTGAATAGGGTGTAGAGCAAAATAGTCCAGGTAGTGACATTAAACTAAGTTGGGTTCTGGGCTTCAGTATCTCCTTTGTACATAAAAAGTGATGTTTGGGGGTATCCCTCAAAGATACTAGACAGAATTAAGTTAGTCATAGTCATCATTAGTTACACACATTATTCACCTACACTGAACCCCAACCAGAGGGAAAGCAACTTTATAAAATTTTTTTAAAATGTCAGTGAAAAACAACTAAAATTTATCATTAAAATTTAAGTATGTATTAGATGTGTTCACATTGTTTTGCAACTATCACCATCATTATTTTACAGGACTCATTTCAAGCAAACTTGAAACTCAATAAACAATAACACCCCTTCTCTCAACTCCTGCAACCCTCATTCTACTTTCTGTCTGCATGAATTTGACTGCTTTAGATATAAGTCCAGTAATTGATTTCTAACTTTCTTATATCTCCCCTTACTGCATTTGGTTTAGATTACCTTTCACAGAACCCAAAATATTTATTAGACCTGGTTCTCTGCTTTCCCATAGATTACTGCAACTTGGAAATAATGTAAGATCTGTGACTGATACTGATACTTGGTCTTGGTCCCCAATGCTGATTCAATAATGAGTACAAAGTTTTGAGAAAAAGGAAAAGGCAGTTTTTATTTCTTTGCTAGCAAAGGAGAGCAAGACCTGTGATTATTACTGCCAGGGGGAACTGTGGAATTTTAAAGGGGAGACACAAAAGTAATCAGGAGTCATAATTTATATTCAAGCAGTAGCCTTGAGAATAGAGCCTTTTCTTAAGTCAACTGGTGGATTCCTCATTCCTGTGGTTGGAGAGTAGATGGAGAGATAACCTGGCCTAGGACAGGAAGATGGTTGATCTTGCTTCCGCCAAAGATAGGGAGAGGGAGAGGGAAAGAGGAAGGAAAAAAAATATTAGTTTTAAAATAAAGTGCTAGTGGTTGAGCAGCAAGGTTTATATTCAAAGTGTGACGATTCCTGTTACATGATGATTGATGATTGATGTAGTACTCAGAAGGCATATTTAGCAGTTAAGTACTTGAAACACAGCTTGTTCAACTGAGAAACTCAATTTTAAACTTTAGAAAGCTGAATTTAAAATGTTAAATTTAGAAATGCAATTAAATGGAGAAAATGAGGTCTTCCTAAATAGTTTTGGAATAACTGGATCAGAAGGCAACACAATAATTAACCTTGACCCCTTAAGCAATAGTTAATTTGAAATGGATCTTAGTACTAAATGGAAAAGCAAATAAAATGTAAAATTTCTAACACACACACACACACACACACACACACACTAACACACATCCGCACACACAAACAGACAAAACTATTTCCATTACTTTGGTGTTGGCAAAGATTGCTTAGGACCAAGAAAAATAATAATCATAAAAAAGGGCAAAGTGAACTTCAACAAAAATTCAAGCTTCTGATAAAAGGCAGTGAAAACAAAATTTAAAAGTTATAGTCTGGAAATATAACCATAATACATATACCTAAGGGTAAAAAAACATGAAAAGATGCTTGATGTCATTCATCATCATATAAATGCATATTATATTCAAAATGAGAAAATAGCACACCACCAGAATAGCTAAACTTTAAAAGATAATACTAAGTATTGAAGATATGGTGCCATCAGCACCCCATCTATTAATAACACAAATATAAATGGATATGTCTATATAAAGAAAACTCTGTTAGTTCCTTTTATTTTTTTTGTTTAAATTTTTTTTGTAGTTGTAGATGGTCACAATATCTTTATTTTTATTTATTTTTATGTGATGCTGAGGATCGAACCCAGAGCCTCATGCTTGAGAGGCAAGTGCTCTACCACTAAGCTTCAACCCCAGCCCTCTGGTTGTTTCTTTTAAACACCTAGTAACCTCACTCCTAGGCATTTGCCTAAGGAGAATGGAAACACACACATATACACATACACACACACACACACACACACACACACACGCCAAATTAAAAAAAAAGAACTTGTATAAGAATTTTCATAATAGTTTTACTTATAGTAGCCAGAACTGGAAACAATCCAAGTGTACCTCAATAGGAGAATTTTTAAAAAGTAGTATATTTGTATAGTGTAATACTACTCAGAAACAAAAGTGAATTACCTTTGGTGCATGCAATAATATAGAAAATTCTTCAAAAATTGAATGTTGTGTAAAAGAAATCAGATAAATTAGTCCATACTCTATGACCATTTCAACTAGAGTCCATACTGGATAATCATTTATGTGAAGTTCCAAAACCGTGAAAATAAGCTTTGATGTATAAAAATCATAACAGCAGCTGCCATTCTCGAGTGAGGGGTGGGGGTTTAACAGACTGCTAGATTGACTGGAAAGGAAAATGAGGAAACTTTCAGGGCTGATGTAAGTGTTTCCTTCTTGTTTGGGCAGGTGATGAAACGGGTGAATGAGTGCAGTTGCCAAACCCAATGAAGTGTACCCTTCAGATCTATATATTTTATGTACTGTGAGTTATATATACTCTCAGAGGAGCCCCTTCATAATTACTGGCACTAAACAAGGTTGCAAACTTCTTTGCTAGGAAATCATCATAAAGATATTTCAGTCATAAAGATTCTTATCTAGAGTTATATAGGCAAACATTGCTCCAATTCATGAAAATTATTCAGTAGATGTGGTGCACCATAAGGGAAGTTGAGCACCTCTGGATGATGTGCAAGGATCTGCATAACCGGGTTTTTCAAATTTGTAGAGTAGTTGAGTGCCCAACATTACACCCAAGCATTCTTTTTTTCTTGCCACAACTTTATTACTAGCATGCTCCTTATTATCTGTTTCCTTGAGCTTTCTTGTAATTTGCATCATTCTCTGCAACGGAATCCACATTCTTCTTGATAAGAAGACGTAAAGAGCTGTTTGTCTTGTAATTTAGTCTTAACCATAAAAAGCCATCATTTCATTTTTCAGGAATCTTTAACTTCATCTCCATTCATGTTTTCAACAATCACATCTACTTGCACCCTTCTGAGAAGATTAAGGTGTCTCACTTATACTCCACCATTTCCATTTCTGGGTGACCTGTCTTTCTGGTCCTGGGGATTGAACCTAAGAGTGCTCTACCATTAAGCTACATCCTCATCCCTTTTTATTTTGAAACAAAGTCTTGCTAAGCTGCCAAGGCTGGCCTTGAATTTGCAATCCTCCTGCCTCAGCCTCTGAAATCACTGGGAATAAGAAGTCACTGAGAATGTAAGCATATGCTACTAAGCCCAGTAATTTTTACTTGAAGACCAGATGTCTTCTTTCCTGGGGCAGTGCCTCTCAACTTTATCTTTGAATTTTGTCCTGATTGGATTTTGAAGACCTCTGTGTTTCTGCACATTGGTGTCTTAAGTATCTGAGGATTTTGTTTTCAGGAACCCATTCGTCGCCACTGTAACACATTTCACTCATTTGGCCTGTATAGCAATCTTTATGTGCTTTGATTCATAAGAGGCCCATAAAAGCACAGCATCAGCTGACCTCAGAATTGAGGCTTCAGTACCATTTGTAAATGATTAACTATCACCTTCTCTCACCTGACTCTAGCAACCCAATATCTGGTGTGCATAGTCAGGCACTGCCACAGGTATTGTTCTTACTCTAATTTTTAAATAGCATCTACAGACTTCCTTTCTCCCCTACCCTCATCCCCAGAGAATGTAACCCAGGGGCACTGTACCACTGAGAATCTCCCCAGCCCTCTTTAAAATTTTGAGACAGGGTCTCCTTTAGCTTCTCAGGGCCTCCCTAAATTGCTAAGGATGGCTTTAAACTTGCAATCCTCCTACCTCAGCCTGCTGAGTGGCTGGAATTACAGGCCTGTGCCACTGCACCCAGCTCCTAAAGATGTCAAGTTTATCTTTGTGCTTGGGAAAACTAATAGATCTACTAAGTGAAGCAGTATTACAAATATAATTGAATCTCACAGTATGAAAATAAGGTGCATTACAACAGGAAGAACTCCCTAGCTGAATAATAGACATCCTAGATCCTTGCTACTCCAAGTATTATTTGTGGATCAGCAATCTCCACCATTACCTGAGAGTTTGATAGAAATGCAGAATCACAGTCCCCAGACCTACTGAATCAACATCAGAGGTTTCACTCCTTTTTCTTCCATGTAAATTGTAGCTTTAAGGAAAAGTCAAAGCTGGAGGAAGAGGGAAGGCAAGAGAAGGGTGGACAGTACCACAGTTTGGTCAAAGCAGGACAACTGGACACATTAGGTTCTCACTTTCACTGAAGAAACAATTTCCCTTTCTCCCCCTTCCCCTCTTAGACCCCTCCCTTCTTGGGCATGTATAGAATGTTAAACCAATTATCACATGAATGGATGGTTAGAAATCAATACCCCCTTCTCTTGCTTTCCCTCCTACAACTTTTTACTTTCTCAAATTAACAATTTTTTTTTTCCAGAAATCAAGCTTTGGGATTTGTGTTAGTATTTTTCCTGAAAAAAAATGGTAGAATTAAAAAAATTATATATAATCTCATATTTGACATAATGTAATAAAAAATTATATAATAAAAATTTATATAAATATATAAATTTTTTATATAATAAAAAAGGGATCTCCTTTTTTATTGTTTCACAGAATATTTAGTATTCATATTTCTTTGGATAAATGTTATGTAAAATGCTTGAAAACAAAATCTTTTACTCTGTAATGCTCCATTCAATTCAATATTCTTTTCAATTAAGTCAAATTCTCCAGAGATATTGTTACCAAAAGCTCAGTCCTTGTCCCTGATGCCAATCCAATAACGAGGATACGGTTTTGAGAAAAAGGAAAAAGGTTTACTGCTTTGCTAGCAAAGGAAAAACACAAGGAACTCCTGTCCCAAAGGCTGTGAATCTGCCAATCAGCAGGAACAGGGGACTTTCAAAGAAGTGGCTCAAAGGCTACATTCCATGTGTTCTCTGTCTGGAATTATAATTCACTTGTAAACTTGGAGATACCCATTTATGAGATTTTCTGGTACCATCCTCAAAGTCCGGATTACTTCGTTTCTATGGTGAGTGTGTACTCAGGGATAGATAACTCTGTCTAAAATGGGGAAGAAAGGTAATCCTGTTTCCCCTGAGATTAGGGAGGAAGAGAGGTTAGGGAGGAGCATGGAGAGAGAAAGAGAAAGAAACATATCCACTTTAAAAACAAGTTGCAGTGGCAGAGCAGCATGAGTTATATTCAAAGCATAAAGTGGACCAATGTTACAATATTACAATATCAGTTGTTTTAGGGGACAGCACTGACCCTAAATGGCACTGATTCAATTAGGATTAAATAATCTCTCAACTCTGAAGAAGTGTTTTTAAAAAGATGGCCAGCTGGGTTGGGATGTAGCTCAGCAATAGAGCTCCTGTCTAGTATATGGAAGGGCCTGAGTTTCAGCCTCAGAATTGCAAATGTAAAAAAATATTAAAGATAAATATAGAAGAATGAGAACCCTGCTGTTTTATAATTCCCAATGCTTCATTATGTTCTAGCCAAATTGTCAAAGATGAATAAAGACAGATATTAAAGAAGTGAAAAGAAACTGACAGTAGGTGGAAGAGCTGAGTTCCATTCAGATTTGTGCAGAATTAATTTGGGATTTTTTTTCTTTTTTTGGTACTGGGGGTTGAACCCATGGATGTTGTGTCACTGAGCTACATATATAGCCCTTTTTAAAATTTTGGGACAAGGTCTCACTAACTTGCTCAAGCTGGGTGAACTTGTGATGCTCTTGCCACAGCCTCATGAGTTGCTGAAATTATAGGTGTGTGCCACCACACAAGCCAAGTTTAGGAATTTTTAAGGAAGATGAGGGAGGGAAGGATACAAGGGCTCAGTAGAGAAGTGAAATAGTACAAAGGGTTAGTCAATGTACATGCAATGAAGCCAACGGTGTCTGCTAGCTGCAGTGACCAAAGTTGGGATTCAATCCACCCACAGACTGAGACAGAGGCCCTGTCCTTCTTGATGATTACATTACAAAAAAATGACTCAGGTCCTTGAGAGAGATGCTTGAATTGCAGGAGATACGTATTTACAATTACCTTTTTAGTAAATGCTCTAAGGAAGGGAAGTTCCAGCCTTTCATTGGATATGTGTTAACTAGAATAAATTGCAAATGTTCCTGCCATTGTTGAGCTTCAAAAAGTCAATGTCATGTGGGGAAGAAAGTTAAGGGGATTAACCTAAACCAAGGTGATACATCCAAATGCAATGTGTGAATCTTAGTTGGATCCCGGATTGGATAAAACTAGCTAAAACAGATATAGAAATTTTAGTAAGTGATAACTATTATGTTGTAATATATATAATAGTTATATAATTGTTAATTTTATTAGATATGATAATAAAGTTATGAGTTTGTAGAACATGCTTACTCTTAGAAGATGCATGCTGAAATATTTTGGAGCAGTCTCATGAAATCTGCAACTATCACAAAGCCCGATCACAGAGTGTAGTGTAATGTGTGTGTAACAGAAAAAAAAAGAAAAAGAAAAAAACCCACAAACTCCCCCAAAACCACATGGGGTAAAATGTTAACTCTAGATGAATCTAGATAAACAGTGTATAATAAATCACCTAAAATTTTAATTTTTAAAACTTCTCTGTATGCTTGAACATTTTTGAAATAAGAACCTGGGAAGACATTTTTCTCCCATCTTTTCTTCCAAATAATTACGTTAGTCTTAGAACTTGATCTTAATAGTCTGTCTGAAGAATATATCTAAAATAACCCTTCTTCAGAACAACATCCTATCATTTTGTGTTAGAGTTGGTAACTTACTTATTTAAGTAATAAAAATATTGTATTTATTTATAAGCATTCAATGTCAGTAGTAAAGTTGCAACTTCTTTTTTCTTTTTTTGAAGTTGGAGTGGTAGTCAGTTAACAGAACAATTTTTTCATAGAAGATGGATCAGAGATAATGAGAATGAAAAGACTACCATCCCCATATGTAACTTAATTTGTGCTATGCACCAATAAAAGCCTATTTTAAATTTCCATGCCAATTTACAAGCCCCAGGCAAACTTAGTGGCTACTGGACATACCATCAGGACAGGGCTATATAAAGACATATTTGTTAGTGTGTTAACTATACAAAAAGAGACATTATACAGTTTTAAAACAAACCTTACACACCCTTATATTCAAGTTTCTTCTTTAAAAGGGATGAGTTGTATATAGGGGAATTAAATGTTTTATAGGCAAGGAAAAAGAAATAGACTAGAACCAACTTATTCATTATCATCTCTTGTCTTCCTCCTCTCCCTTGCTTTTTCCAACCCTCACCACTCCTTATTTTTTTTTTTTTTTTCTGTTTCAGGCTTACCTTTAGCTTGGTAGGCAGTGATATCCTTTTCATGTTTCTCTTTCAACTTGCACTTTGTTTTCATTAAGTTTCTTTACCTGTAGCTGTTATTCCACATTTCTTTCCCAGTTTCTTAGCAACATCACCAATCAACAGGCCCAAATGTTCTCCTCTGATTTGGGGGGCAAAACTCATAAGAGAACAAGAAGGAGCTCTCTTGGATGTAATGGAATCCCTGAACTTTTTTTTTTTCCTTTAGAAATGACATAGGTTTTCATTTCCACCTTTGCCATTGAGCACTTTTTAGAAAACTCAGAAATTGAAGTGCCTTGCACTCTGACAAGTTTGCAGAGCACATATAATGACATTTTGCTCTCAGCTTGTTAGGATCTCCTTTGACTGTGTTTAGCAGATTTTCCTCAGTGAGGCACAGAATCACATGGTATCAGTCTGCCTCTCATTTGCCCTGTGCTGTCTCTATGGAGCTAAATGTACTGCAGTGGCTGTTAGAAGTTTAATTATCTCATCCAACAAAAATCTCTTTAAGGTAAGCATTGGGTTTTATATATCACTGCATGAAATAGATCACAATGAGTTACTCATATTACATCTGTTGATGCTTATTAAGTTGACCCAAAGGACAATAAGAAATACAAGCAAGCAGAAAGTCTATGTTGAATATTGGCCTCTAATTCATACAACATAGAATTCATTTAGCAATCAAATGCTGGGGTATAATCTGTAACCTAGAGATGCTCATTGATGCTGAGTGACTCATATTCTTCACCATTTTTATTGAAAAGTAGCAGTCTAAGTCCTAACTTTGACATAATTAACAGTACTTTGTCTTTAAAAAAGAGGTTTATAAATAATGTATAAATCTGATATCACTAAATTTTACATTTTCTTGTGGTAGATGAAAAAGGTCTGGTTGTTTGTTTTAAGAAAAGGCATGAGGGAACAAGTGACCTGTCTTATATTACACATCAGTTCTCAATACTCTCTTTTTTAAAATTTATTCTTTAGTTGTACACAATACCTTTACTTTGTTTATTTATTTCTATGTGGTGTTGAGGATGGAAACCAGGACCTTGCACACGCTAGGTGAGCACACTACCACTGAGCCATGGCCCCAGTCTGCTCTTTCTCTTTTCAATAACAGCTTATTTTCTACTTGGAAATTCAGGTTGTTTATTAAAACTTAAACCTTTAAAGTCAATAAATGTGACTGATTCATTAAAAAAATATCTATAAGTACTCTGTACTTATAGCTGTATTCTATGGATATTCATAAAGATTCCTATGCCTCAGTCTGACTCTTTTTTTTGACTTACATAATTTTTTTCTATTTGTTCTTTATAGTTATACATGAGAGTAGAATGTATTTTGACATCATATACATAGTCAGTCTGATTCTTGATATAGGACCATTCTGTTGATATGCTAATAAAGAATAAACAAATATTTATTTTGCTGATTTAAGGTTTTCATCCAAAAGTTCAACAATGGCTTCTTCATCTGCTGATTGAAGTAGTCTCTCAATTAGTTGATCCAGGCTTTTCTCACCACATAAAAATCCCTGGTAAAAGAGGTAATTATTATGAAACCTGATACTATAGTTTTGATCTGGAATACCCTCCTCCAAAGGCCCATGTGTTAAAGGTTTGGTCCCCAGTTTGGCCCTATTGAAAGGTGGGAGGTGTGGCTTAGTGGGAGGTTTTAGGTCATTAGGGACACATCATTGAAGGAGACTGTGGGAAACTTAGGTCTCTCTTTTTTTGCTTCCTAGATGCTATAGATGAATGGCTTTCTTTGCCACAAACAACCACCATGATGTGCTGTGCCACCACAGGTCTTAAGCAATGGGACCAATCAGCCATAGACTGAAATCTCTAAAACTCCAAGCTATAATAAACCTGCCCTCATCACAAAGACTGGGGAGACTGAGGTAAGAGGATTATAAGTTTGAGATCAGTATCAGCAACTTAATGAAATCCTCAGCAATTTAGCAAGACCCTGGCTGACACCAGGGACCCTGGCTTTACCAGTCCTGTGGTAGAGTAACCCTAGTACCAAAAAAAGTAAAAATAAAAAAATAAAATAAACCTTTCCTCTTTTTAAGCTTATTTATCTTAGGTATTTGTTACAGTAATGGAAAACTGACTAACACACCTGATTATTAAAAATAAATAAAGCAAAGAGTTAAGTTTATACTTCTTTTCTTTTTTTGTGTGTTATTAGGCATCAAACCCACAGAGTTGAGCATGCTAGGCAAGTGCTCTACCACTGAACTACAACTCCTAGCCCAATTTCATTTCTTTACTTTCAATATTTAATAGCAACAAAGGATTACTCATGTTCTACAATATAATGAATAAAACTGCTAATAGGGGAAGATCCCCAGTTTGCAGTGATTTTTTTAGGGGCAAAATGAATGCAAAAGCACAAATGGGGGCTGGGGTTGTAGCTTAGTGGTATAGTCCTCATCTAGTACATGCAAGGCCCTGCTTTCGATCCTCAGCACCACATAAAAATAAATAGATAAAATAAAGGTATTGTGTCCAACTACTTCTAAAAAATAAATAATTTTTTAAAAAAAGAGCAAATGGAATTAATTGTTTAAATTTGGATTTTGTTTTAAAAATCAATCCAAGACTTGGATCTTTCCTATAACTCCGGAAACAATGAGAGATCCTAATGAACTTTTGAAACTGACCACATCCTTCTCTGTTATTCTTTCTCTTGGTTTTTGTGACACCATTCTAGGGTTTTCAAATCATGTTTGGGAGGATTTGTTTGGTGAATTCTTTCTCTTCCTGTACCCTAAAAAAAAAAGGCTTTTTATTCTTATCCTAAAAATTCTATTCTTTTCATTCGTATCTTATTCCCAAGGGCAAAGAAGACTGAAATGCCTTAATCGGGCAGATGTTTTGTTGCCACATTAGCATAAATGTGTTCCTTGCCAAATCCTCTGGATCTAGCTCAGAGGGCACTACCTCAGACCATTTCAGCCCACCTTTCCTGTGCCAACCCTCCAAATTTACATGATTTAATCTGCAAGTGATTTTCAACAGGTTTTTCTCCCTGAAATGGGAAATCCAGTGGTTTTAAAATCTAGAAGTTTTATGTAATCAAAAAATATTTTTGTTGAAATATTTAGAGTAAAAGTCTCTTGAGGTCTGCAACTTGCTTTCAAATGATTCAACAGCAATAGTTGTATGCAGAAAAGAGGAAGTGGGGAGAAAGAGAAGGCAAATAGAGCAAAAATGTTAACAATTGTTGAATCTAGGTTATAGATTACATAGTGTTCATTGAACTCTTTTTTTTTTTGGTGTGAGGTGGAGGTAGGTACTGGGATTTGAACTCAGGGGCACTCGACCACTGAGACACATCCTCAGCCCTATTTTATTTTATTTAGAGACAGCGTCTCACTGAGTTGCTCAGTGCCTTCCTTTTGCTGAGGCTGGCTTTTAACTCTCAATCTTCCTGCCTCAGCCTCCCAAGTTGCTGCTGGGATTACAAGTGTGTGCCACTGTACCTGCCTCATCACTTTTCCAGTCTTATTTGTATTAATGTAGACCCCAAATTATTCATCCCTACTAGTCTCTTTACTGCCTTTTTATGGACTTAAGCTTTATTTTTACTTGACAAATAATAATATATTTACAGGGCATAATGCGATGTTTTGATACTATTTATAATGTGGAATGATTAAAGTGAGTTAAGTATCAAACCCATCAGCTTACATATTTATCATTGTTTTTGTGGTGAAAACACTTAAAATCTATACTTTCCCCAATCTTTATTTTAATTTTTTTTGTGGTGCTGGGGATTGAACCCAGGGGTGTGTGCATGCAAGGCAAGCACTCTACCAATTGAGCTATATTGCCAGCCCCTACTTTCCCCAATCTTGAAACATACAATGCATTATTTATTATAGTCACCGTTCTGTGTAATATATTACTAAAGCTTATTCTTCCTGTCTAACTAAAACTTTGTACTCTTCAATATCTTCCCTTTCCCCACCTACCACTCTCCTCCTTCATATAGATTTCAATGTTTTCATACAGTTTTTTCATGCTACTCTCAAACTTTTCCTTTTCACTAATGTGTTTTCCTTTTTTCCAATAGGCTGGTTAGTGATTATTGGAACACCTAATATAATTTTTTCTTATTATTTCAGAGTCTGGCATATTTAGTAATAACATATTAGTACATAGTCCATAGTCAGGTATTTTATAGATACAAAAGCCAGTTACCTTTCTGTTTCACAACTGAATATTATATTTTGTACCTACAGGCCCATCTAAAGGATATTACTAGCCATAAGAATATGTCTCAGGGAAAATTATCACCACTACCAGAAAAACAACCAAAATAATATGGTGTAACTAGAACAATGTGACCAAACATGTTTAGTTAATCCTGTGTGTTTCCTGAGGAAAGGGAAGTTAGCAAATATTTCATCCTTTTTGACATGGCTGCTGTGTTTCTATGCAAGAAGTGACATAAGATACAAAGATATTTATAAATATATTAAAAACACAGACATTTTCCTTTAAACTTTAATTTGAAGTATATAATAGGATAGAATAAAGTGAAAGAGGTTTTAGGTATCAGATGAACCAAAGAAAAAGATAAGAGCTTTCTGTCTCCGGCCTTGTCCACATAGTCCTTTATGGGAACCACTTCATTTTCCCTTTCAGTGGCAGCAAAAGGGAAGTTTTCTTGTGCTTCATTTTTTTTAAACATCTTTACTTCTTATTTATTTTTTAAGAATATCTGTTTTTTTAGTTGTAGTCAGACACAATGCCTTTATTTTATTTATTTATTTTATGTGGTGCTGAGGATGGAACCCAGCACCTCACACATGCTAGGTGAGCACTCTACTGCTGAGCCACAGCCCCAGTCTCTAACATCTTTAATTTTATTTATTTATTTCTTTTAGGGGCCTCCCTTTTGCAAGGCAAGCACTCTACCACTCAGCTACAATCCCAGCCCTGTGCTTCATTATTAATGTATTATTGTTAGTAGTTTGGGCTGGATGGCATTTAGGTAGGTTATTGTTCAAAAAATCTAGACAGGGTCTCTTCCCCAATACACAGCTGTAACACCTAATGAATATGCAGTATGGAAGATAGAATTATAAGATGCTCTCTGTTGTATACCGTGTGAATGCGGACAGAACCTGTAAATATGTTGGCATATGATCCCAGAGATTAGGTGAGTAATCAGTTGACTTTAAGTTAATCAAGAAAACTATTATCTAGGTGGAATTGACTTTATCAGGTGAGATCTTCAAAAAGGCCTGAGCCAGCTAGGGATGTGGCTCAGTGGTAGAGAGCTTGTTTGGCATGCAAGAAACCCAGGGTTTGATTCCTAGCACTGGGGGGGGGGGGCTGAGCTTGAGCTATTCCTGCAAAAATAGATAAAAGAGATGCTAAATGGGCAAGGTTATTTAGGAGACACGTGGCAAGCAAATTCCAGCAGCATTAAGGATCGAAGAGCAGTTTTCAGCTGACAGCCAGGAAAAGACTAGGAGTGTAAGTCCTTAACTAAAGAGAATTCTGACACAGATATGAACTTGGAAGAGGATACCAAGCTTCAGAAACGTATGTAGCCTTGATAACACCTTGCTTTTGGCCTTGTGAAACCCTAAGGAGAGAACAGTTCAGTAGTACCTGGATTCCTGACCTATAGAAAGCATGAGAAAATGAATAAGTATTGTTTTAAACTGCTAAATTTGTGGCAATTTGTTACCTAACAATATATGCATACATGTATATTCAATATGTTGTGATTGTATAACAAAGAATTTGGAATTTTAAAATATAACTATTTCAAAGAGGCAGAAAGATCATATTTCTTACCAGCAAACTAATAAAAATGTAAATTTTAGGGTATTAAGCAAAATTGGCTTAACGATTTAAAATTACTTGGTAATATTTTAGACACAACTCTCCAGAATTGATTATACTTTCTTTGAAAAGCAAAGGTACATAAAGCATAGTCAATAGTATTACCTTAATGTCACGAACTTCATATGCTATCCTGTGGTCAGTGACTCTATCCTGTGTGAAATTATATGTCCGAATTCTCTCTGATTGGGCTCTTGTTCCCACCTATTCCATGACAAAAGCAATTCATACTTTAACTTTATAATTACATTCATCACAATGGAACAATGGAAAAAGTACTTGTAAATGACTCTTCTATTTTAATAGTTTAAGCACTTTCTACTTTTTTTTTAATGGTGTGTGTGTGTGTGTGTGTGTGTGTGTGTGTTGGGGATTCAATCAAACCAGAGCCTTGCCCATGCTAGATAAGCACTTTACCACTGAGCTGCCCTTTATTTTATTTTGAGATGGGGTCTCTCTAAATTGCCCAGGCTCCCAAGTAGCTGGGATTATAGGTGCACCACAACTCCTGGGTAAGCATTTTCTAAAAGTCATACACAGAAAGTGACTAGACAAAAGCAGGCAAGAAAGTCATTAAAGTCTTAACATTAAAGTTAATGTTAAGACTAGAGGTTTGAGGCTGGGAAGGTAGCTCAGTGGTAGAGCACATGCTTAGCATGCTGTACAAGGTCCTGGGTTCAATCCCCAGCAACACCAACCAAACCAAACCAAACCAAACCAAACCAAACCAAAAACAAAAACAAAAAAACGTAAGTTTGTAAAACTTAGATATGAAATAAGAAAAAATGTCTTTTTAACAATTCCAATTCCAAATACTTAAAACCCAATCATCTTTCCACCCCAATTAGTTTCTTCTCCTGGTTCTACAAATGATACATACCACCATGTGTTCCCTTTTATTCAAGTAGAAAACTCTTGACACCCTGACAAGCACTTCATGGGAGGTTACTATCTCAGGCTTTGATTCAGACTCTGGGGGAGAGCTTACCTTCAATTCATCCAATTCATCCCATTCTCTAACTACCCATTTCTAATTGGTATCAAGAATCTTTAATTTTAATCTGCCTTTTCTATTTATACTGTCATTTTAAAAATTTAAATTTTGCAAAGCTCTCCTTATTAATCTGTTGATTTTTCTGCTTATACTGTGCTGACTTGCTTCATCTTCCTAATGCACAGCCTTCTGAGTAAGTTTTCTTCTTTGGTTCCTTCTTGTCTTCTAAACAGACACAGCTCAGCATTCAAGATGCTTCCTAACTTGGCCAACCTTCCCAACATTATTTATGAAGATTATGTGACCATCTATGATACCACTTATTATATTATGTTATTTTTATGTGTGTACCTGTTAACTGTGCTAAAACATCTCACAGATGCCCTTCTCTAACACTTTCCTACCATCTCTTCCTTTCTGGTCCTGGTAATTTTAACACGTTTTCTTCTTCTTTTGAAACTCTTTGCACTTGAAATCTTCTTCAAAGCACACCAGAGTTCACCTCAACCTAAGATTATTTGTATTATTCTTAGTCTATGCATCTCCCCTGCCCCATCTCCCAATACACGTCATACACAGCATCCTCCCTCAATTGCTTTCACTTTTTAAGATTATAAAAAAGAAATTCTATAATTCATTTTTTAAAACACAAAGGTAAACAATATGGTCAAGAGAATTTTTTAAAATTACAGATTCTTAAGCCTGTATATGGGACTGTGTATTCTGAAAATATTCCCCAGGCCATCCATTCTGACAATCAGCCAGGTTTGGAAACTATTATCCCAAAGTATCATATTCAGAGCCACAACCCAAGTCCAGAACAATCAGATTAGAATCCCAGGATTGGGGGCAGGTCAGCATCTATAAAGCACATAGATGATAGGTTGAGCCAGGCTGGCACCAGGCATCATGCCTTCTGATTAAAAGCCACTGAAGAAAACCCTTCTAAGCTTTAGAAATCCCTATTAATAAACAGTTCAGGAGGTAGATAAGAAATTTTAAAAGCAGAGAGATCCTTTCTGGATCTTTAAATCAGACTACTGAAGGAGATATATACACGTAATTTACATAAAGCCAATCTTAAGTACTTACCTTAAAAACTACTATGTAGAATATCTAGTGCCAAAATGTTAAGCGGTAAGTAAATCTCAATGTCTTTTATAATTTCCAGTGGGGCAGAATTCATAGTATTTATGTTTTCACTTACTTGCCAAGAAGCAATAGTATGAAAATTAATAGTCCTATCTACAGATGTACTAATGCTGCTCTACAATGTGGAATTACAACACATAGAGTATTAATATATTATTTATCCTGGCACTTTTACTACCTGTAAGTTAGAATGATTAAAAAAATAGAAAATATAAAAAGATAGGGACATATCTAGATGAAAACAACAATTAATATTTACTTTTATATACTTCAGTATCATAAAAGGCCATAAAATCTTTCAAATTTGATTTACTGTGTCATACTTATCTGCAAATAACATAAAAGCACAGTTATTTCTGAGTTCTACTTTCTTTTCTAGCCTCTTTTAAAGAGAAACTTTCTTTTCTTTTAGAATTTTAAATTATTTAAGTTTGTTTACTTAAGACAATGACATTCACTCATTTTAATTTGTAAGTTATCTGTGTACGTATTTGAATAAAAAACACTATAAATGTATAGTGTACAAAATTCAAAAAGTATACTAATGAAAATAATAATGAAAAGTAAATCTCCCTCTATCCCTTGTCCCCAGTCTCTTATCAGTAGCAATCACTGTTCCCTATTTTTTTTTAGCTGCAGTTGGACACAACACCTTCATTTTATTTATTTATTTATTTTCTACGTGGTGCTGAGGATTGAACCCAGCACCTTGCTAGGTGCTCCATGAGTGTTCTACTGCTAATCCACAACCCCAGCCCATGTTCCCTATTGTTGAGAGCCACAGCAGAAGGGGCCCCAGCAAACTTCCAGCTGCCAGCTGATGATTGGCTCATAGGGGCCCCAGCAAACTTCCAGCTGCCAGCAAACTTCCAGCTGCCAGCTGATGATTGTCTCACAGCGGGCCCCAGCAAATTTCTAGCTGCCAACTGATTGGCTCCTCTGCCATGATGCTCACTGGGCTGTTTACCCGCCCTTTCAGACCATGGAGCTGCTCACTGGGGGACTTTTTTTGGCTCTGCCCACTCGACCCAGCCAATTGGCCTCAAGAGCAGGATGGGTGGGGAGGTTGAGAGGCTTTTGGGAAGCTGGTGGTGGCAGTTGGGCTCTGAGGATTTTCCTGAAGAGCTGTGTGGTGTGGGTGTGTGTTCTAAAAATAAAGTTAGTTTCTTTTGACAAGTGGCCCCTGAATTGTGCCCAGCCAGACTGCAGCACCCTATTTTTTTTTTGCACTGTCATTTATATTTGATCCATATAGAATTATAATAAAAAGCATAGCTCTTTAAGGAAAATGTCTGAAAATCTCAATTTCTTTTTCCCCCCTTGATACCAGGAATTGAACCTAGGGGAGCTTAACAACTGAGCCACATTCCTAACCTGTTTTTTATTTTTCTATTTTGAAAACAGTGTCTCACTAAGTTGCTCAGGGCCTCACTAAGTTGCTGAGGCTAGCTTTGAACTTGCAATCTTCCTGTCTCAGCCTCCTGATCCACTGGGATTACAGAGATATACCACTGCATCTGACCTATTTCTAAAGAATTATTTTGTCTTTAAAACCAACTTCCTTTTAAGATAGTTTTGACATACACACTGGAGATAAACAATTGTTTATGCATCATTCATTTACTCATTTGTAAATTGGAAAGCCTAATTTAATCATATCAATCCAAGCCAGGTGTGGTAGCATATGCCTATAATCCTAGCAGCTCAGAAGGCTGAGGAAGGAAGATTGCAAGTTCAAAGCTAGCCTCAGTAACTTAGCAATATCCTAAGCAGTTTAGCAAGACCCTGTCTCAAAACAAAATATAAAAAGGGCTGGGGATACGGCTCCATGGTTAACTGCCCCTAGGCTGCTCAATCCCTGGTACCAAAACACACACACACACACACACACACACACACACACACACACACACACATCTATCCATCAATTCACAGGCATTTAAGTCACTGCATATCTACAAAAAAAGCACATTTCCCTATGTTGTAAGACATTTCCATTTATGCAAGAGAAAACACTGTACTTTCTAAACAGAGTGTTGACTTTTGTACAGTGTCTAAATAAGCCTTACCTGCAGTTTTCTAGCACTTTGTTGTTGACACCTGTCCTTCTCAATAATCTGCTGGTAGAGTCGGGCTCTCAACACACGCAAAGCTATTTCTTTATTTTTCAGCTGTGATCGTTCTTGTTGGCATTCTACTACTAGCCCTGAAAAACAACAGAGATCAGAGGTAAATTGTAGCCTATGCAGGCCAAATTAAGGCAGAACCGAGGACCATTTGAAAGGGGAAAAGTTAATTAGAAAAAGATCACAAAAGATAAAAAACATTTCAGAAACTGGTAACATCTGGAAATAGTTGCTTAGATTCTAATATCTGATGAGATATTTCAGAGAGCACAAAGCAGCAGATGGTTATATATACTTATATACTTTCATTTCCCGAGCTTGGCCTCTCCCTCCCAGCTCATCCATGTATTTGGACAGCTCATCAATAGCAAACTGCCCCTCTCCCCTGCAGTACTGCTCCATTCTCTGTCCTACTCAAAGAGGACACAGTTTTTCCTGTTTTGGTCACAAATACACACAGAGCTGATGTTTTAAAAATAACTACACAATGAAAACGAAAGAAGCTGCTCAAAACCTTTAAAAGGAAAAGTTTATATTTATAGTGACTATGCTTTTGAGTTGTCTGGGTTCTAAAAAGGAATGTAATACATTCCTCTGAAAAATTGTGCTACAACTGTGTACAATGAATCAAAATGCATTCTGCTGTCATGTACACCTAATTAAAATTAATTAATTAAAAAATTTTTTTTTAAAAATTAGGGCTGGAGATGTGGCTCAGTGACCAAGTGCCCCTGAGTTCAATCCCAGTAACCCCCCACCAAAAAAAAAAAAAAAAAAAAAAAAAAAAGAAACAAAAACGTTAATTTTTTTAAACTGAAAAATGAGAGAAATATTGTCAATGCACTGCCTAACATCATTTTGGCCAATGACGGACTGTATATACTCTAGTGGTCCCATAAAATTATACTACCCAGTGACATCATAGTCATTTTAGCTTGTAGACCTCTATGTTTGCACAATGATGAAATTGTCTAATGATGCACTTCTTGAAATGTTAAATCCCTATTGTCAAGCAATGCATCTAAAATCATATTAAGAACTGTAAAACTATCAAATAGTATACCAAAATTATCAATAATCAAAATAATAGCATTAATGTAGCAGAGCCTCATGGAGCTAGCAGTGGTCAATCTACAAGGTGACAAAAGACCCATGGAGTGCAGTACCCTATACTGCTTCTGTGTTTCATTTGTATTTGAGCTGAAGCCCTTCTGGTTGCTCACACCTATCCAGTATATCTAGACAGCTTCCCTGGATAGTTCTGCTTACTATCTGCAGCCTTTGAGAGAGACAACTTTTCCACATGAAAGAGAAATATGAACATAATGAGGGCCTTGGGCCCACGATAACAGTGTTACCTTTAAGGATTTTGTAGGAGTCAGGTACTAACACAGGACTACTTCCTACCAAATGCTGAAGAGTTAAGATGTGAAAAAAGCATGAAAGCACAAAAGCAAAGGGACTTGCTTACCTGTGGGGATGTGGACAAGCCTAACAGCACTGTCTGTTGTATTAACATGCTGCCCTCCTGCTCCTTTGGCTCGAAATGTATCTATTCGCAAATCCTTGGGGTCAACTTTCACATCTACCTAGAACAAAAGGTATAACAAGTACATTCTACACTCCATGAAGACTTGCATATTAAATTTATTCTGATATTTTTCAAATAAACTTGACTGTTTTGTGTTGTTACAGCCATTAAGCTAAAAGGAGAAATTACTATACCAAGGAAAAAACCAAAAGCTCCTTATTTTGATAGGATGCTGTTCTTAAAACAATGACAGGATGTTATTACATCACCAGGTTATATACAATCTTTCAAAAATTTCATTCTTTAACACAGTTATATTACATAGAACATACAAAATATATATAAAAGGTATATACACACATATTTTATTAATTCAAAATCATCATTCATGGATCCCTACTTATAAATATGTCTACTTGTTAAAATTTATTTGTGTCTCCCAAATCATCGCTTTTACAGTCCTTTGCAGATATGCACAGGGCAGTTAAAAATTTAAGCTGCTCTATATTCTTATATTTTCAGCTGTGGTCAGACAAGGTGGCAATCTACCTTCTTGTTTCAGTTTTCAGAGATGACCAGAAGACAGAGATAGATGGTAGGGGAAGGGAAATGTGATACAAGAAGCTTTGCTTGTGGGGCCAGTTGAATAGGGTTTGTTTTGTTTTCTTTTGTGTTTTACTTAAACCAGGGTCTTACTATAATGCTCAGGCTGGCCTTGAACTCCTAGGCTCAAGCAATCCTCCTGCTTCAGCCTCCTGAGTAACTAGAGCTATAAGTGATCACAGTAGTGCCTTGCTAGGACAGGGTTTAAAACTCAGCTCTAATATCTGCAGCAGCCATGACAAGCCTCAGACAAGTCACTTAGTGTCCTGAGCCTCCTTTTCTCTTTTGTAAGAGATAGAAAATAGAATCTAGCACTATGGGTGGTTTTTAGGATTTAAGATTATAATTGATAGGATACATATGCACGTGTATGAATTAGCAAATACTGAACAGTTGCTCCTAAAACTAATTTGAAAATTATTGAACTATTCCTGTTAAGTGGCTGAGTATTTGCTAAATGTTTTCGCTGGAACTTTACTGAGCAAACTACTGCAAATAATAATTGATGTGTGTGCACATGTGCACATGCACACATCAGTGAGTTGAAAGGTGATCCCCAGAAAAATATGTTCACATTTTAACACATGAAACCTGATTTGAAAAAATGTCTTTGCAGATGTAATTAAGATGAGTTATACTGTATTATCTAACAGGCCCCAAATACAATGATAAGCATCTTTGGAAATGCTTGTGTGTGCTTATGTATGTCTGTGTATTTAAAATAGTTACCAAATAGGCTGTGTTATAATTTGAATCTTGAATGTCCCCCAAAGACACATGTGTTAAAGTCTTGATCCCCAGCCTGTGTCCTTCTTGGAAGAGGTGGAATTTTAGGAGACAGGACCTAATGGAAGGAAGTTAGGTCACTGTGGGCATGCCCTTAAGGGGACATTGAACTCTGGTCCCTTCTTCTCTCTTTGCTTCCTGGCTGCCATGAGATAAGTAGCTTTGTTCTACCACACATTCCCCACCATAATATTATGCCTTGCCACTGGTCCAAAGGCAACAGGACCAATTGACAATTGGGCTCTAAACTGTGAGTAAAAATAAACCTTTCCTCCTTATAAGTTGATAATCTCAGTATCCTGTCACAGTGACAGAAAGCTGAATAATACATGCTATTTTGAGGGGAGAGCCAACATTGTGTTCTACATTCACTACTATGAGTGACAAATAGCAAGTGTGATGTTTCTTTTTGAAAAGTAAACTAGGGCTGGGGATGTGGCTCAAGCAGTAGCGTGCTCGCCTGGCATGCGTGCGGCCCGGGTTCGATCCTCAGCACCACATACAAATGAAGATGTTGTGTCTGCCGAAAACTAAAAAATAAATACTAAAAAATTCTCTCTCTCTCTCTCTTAAAGAAAAAAAAAGAAAAGTAAACTAATAATCTAACACAACACTTGCTTGTTTATTTTGTTTCCTCTAAAATAAGTACTACATATGAAGAAAAAGGTTATATGACTTTTGTTAAAATATACTAGTGCAAGCTACCTAAAAATTCAATAAACACTAAAAAGATTATTTCCCCATTTCTTGTGGTTATAGAGTAATTAGTTATATTACTATATAACTTATTGTGTAGGTATTATATGTCATATTCTTCAAATGTTAAGTTACATTAAATGAGTTTATTTTCAAGAATATGAAGACATAATGGGCAGGTAGAAATGGGTGGAAGGAATAAAGATGGTAGCAAGAAAATTCTAGGTTTGATTTTTGAACTTTGTAAATGTTTATATATACCAAAAATAAAATTAAACAAAAAAGAAAACAAAAATCAAATCCTAAAATTAAATAGAAACATAAACAAAGGAACAAAATATTTACCATAACAACTATGTAGAAGGGGAGAAGGGATAACAGAGGATAGGAAAGGCAAAAGAATACATCAGACACTAGTATGACAATATGTAAAAATGTGGATGTGATTCTGCAATCTGTATACGGGGTAAAAATGGGAGTTCATAACCCACTTGAATCAAATGTATGAAATATGATATGTCAAGAACTATGTAATGTTTTGAACAACTAATAAAAACAAAACAACTATGTAGAAAAAAATTATTTCACAGAGTCTTTGAAGGTAGTGTTCTGATTATATATTCTAAGGGCAAAATCTTACACATTACTCAGTAGTTTACTATTAGTAATACTGGTATTATAATTCTGAAAGTTTTAAAACATTGTATAATAAAGCAAATAAGTAAAGTAAACAAGAAACAAGAACTTTCACTCTTAAGTGGAGATATAAAATAAAAGAGGAAAGGGGGGAAAAACCTCTATAATGTTAAATTTGAATTGGTAATATGAAACTTATTTTAAAATATATTTTTTAGCTCTGTCCATTGGAATTCTAGAAGTTGGGATGCTCTAGTAATAATGATGACATCAAGAACCCAAATACTGCTTTTGGGGTGCATTCCCCAATAAAAAGGACCAGGCTAACTTCAGGCCTGAGACAGGACCTTATTGGGACTGGGATAAGTAATAGTACCAGAAAGCAAGACTGGTGGGGGTCATTTCAAGAAAAGGCAAAATGAGTACCCTAAAAAGGCTATAACCCACCAAATGTGGGTTAATAGAAACATCAAAAAGATTAATAACTACAACGGAATGAATTAAAACAAATCTATGAATCTATAATGAGTTTAGTATATAAAACTTTATATCAAGAATTTATAATGAGGGGCTGAAGTTGTGGCTCAGTGGTAGAGTGCTTGCCTGGCATGTGTGAGGCACTGGGTTTGATCCTCAGTACCACATAAAAAGGAATGAATAAAATAAAGATATTGTGTCCATCTACAACTAAAAAAAAAATATTAAGAGTTTATAATAATTCCTGTGGCTCAGGAGGCTATAGTATGAGAATATAAGTTTAAAGCCAGCCTCAGCAACTTAGCAAGATCCTGTTTCAAAATAAAAAATAAAAAGGGCTGTGGATATGGCCTAGTGTTTAAGTACCCCTTGGTAAAATGTTTGATACCACACACACACACACACAAAAAAAAAAAAAAAAAAAAAAAAAGGAAAAGAAAGAAAGAAAACAAGCTATGGATTTAAAATTGTTGAGAACAGGATAATATGCACCCAAGAGAATAACTAGTAATTGCAAAGGGGAAAATATACTTTTAGAGTAGAGATATTTTGTGTGGTCACCATCCTAACTAAATGCTCAAACTAAGCCTCACTAAAAGTGGGACAATCTGACATATGTGCCTTCTGGTAAGATGCAACATAACTCTAAATTTACCTATGAAGTATTGTTGCTCAAAGCCTGTGTCCTGAAGGTAGTATAATAGAGTATTTATATACAACTTTCAATGTATTACTAGAGGGTAATGAAACATGTTAAACAGTACCATGAAGAAAAAATAATGAATCCAGAATGAAGAACACTGTATAAGACAAAGAGTGTAGACTGTTCAAAAGCCAATACCATTAGAGAAAAAGGCGAAAGACTGTTCCAGACTTCAAATGTGTAAAACTCAACTGAATCCTGGCTAAAAAAATAGCCACAATATACTTTTGTGTCTACTGCAGAAATTATAAAATGGACTAGATATTTAGATAATATTACATAATTTAACTAGGAGTATAACTCATTGGTAGAGTGCTTGCCTAGTATGTGTGAGGCCCTGGGTTTGATCCTGGAATGCAAATAAATAAATAAATAAGACGTAAATGTAAAAAATAAAGAAAATATTATACAATGACAAACAATTTTCATAGATGATGATATTGTGTTTTGTAGGACAATGTCCTCATTCTTAGGAGATGAATATGGAAGATTTGAGAAATAAATCTTATGGTGTCTGCTATATCTTTTGTAATTTACCTAAAAAAGATATAAAAACATATCTATGGGAGTCAAGCAAATATAACAATTCCTGACTCCAGGTAAAAGTCATGAAAGTTTTGTTGTGGTAGAAACCCCATGCAGATATTATATTATTAATCCTAAAGTATCTATGGAATTAATTTTTTTTCTTAAGATAAAACTTATATAACAATATTTTAAAAACTTTGTGGATTCAGTTTTTAAAAGAAGTCACTTGACCAGGTGTGGTGGTGCATGCCTATAATCCCAGCAGCTTGGGAGGCTGAGGCAGGAGGATCCAGAATTCAAAGCCAGCCTCTGTAAAAGCAAGGTGCTAAGCAATTCAGTGAGGCCTTGTCTCTAAAACAAAATACAAAATAGGGCTGGGGGTGTGACTCAGTGGTCGATTGCCCCTGAGTTCAATCCTTGGTACCCCTACAAAAAAGAAGTCACTTTTATTTTAAACAAAATATCTTGGTAAGGTTGGTAAGGGAGAGCAAAGGCAACTTTACCTGGGGAAAGATTTCCCATTAGAAACTAAAAATCTAATCAATAACCATTAAAAAACCAGATTTACCTAGAAGTTAAGGCTTCTCAGCAAAATACCCATTTACATGAAGTGAATTTTCAACACCTCCTGGTGAGGTTACCTCATCTGGCTGAGGAAGGACAATGACTGACATTGTTCCTGTGTGAATACGCTGCATTCTTGATGACAGCCCCACCTCAGGGATTCGCTGGACTCTGTGAATTCCACCTTCATACTTCAAATGCTTAAAGACATTTTCACCAGAAATTCGAGCAGCTGCGTGATGTAGTCCACCTAGGAAGAAAAATTCAGAAATATTTACAGATTCTACTGTGAAAGGGATTAGGATCCTAAATGTCCTTAATTTAAGGTCTGAATGTGAGTATAGAACCAGAGATGAGAACATAAGGTAGGTACAAAAGTATATTTTCACAATGTAAATATACTACTATATAAAAGGAAACACCAAAATACTGTTTATGGTTATCTCTGGGAATAGAATAATAGTAGATTTGTATTGACTTTTCATATTTTTTGTTTGTTAAGTATTATATAAGAAACAAGTTTTACTTTCTTTTTTTTGGTACCGGGGATTGAACTCAGGGGCATTCAACCACTGAGCCATATCCCCAGCCCTATTTTATATTTTATTTTGAGAAAAGGTCTCACTGAGTTATTAGTGCCTTTGCTTTTGGACTCACGATCCTTCTGCTTCAGCCTCCCAAGCCTTTAGGATTACAGGTGTGTACCACTGTGCCTGGCACAAGTTTTACTTTTATAATTAAAAAAAAAATACGATTAAAAAAATACTAAGAACTGTCTACATTGAATTATCCTATGTTGTCTTAGGCTAATATAATGCCACATGTAAAAGAATATTCAACATAATAATTTTGCAATGTTTAATAACTCAATAGGCCCTTCTAAGTTTTCAAGAATTTAATGAAAGTCAGCTCTTGCTTATCTGTGGAGTGGGAAGAATGTCAGATACACAAAAATATCTTAATACTTTAGCTTCTGTGTGTGTTTGTGTTTGTGTATGTGTATTAAGGTTTAGCTTCTGTGTTTGTTTGTGTTTGTGTGTGTGTATTATCAAGGATTGAATATGTGGTGCTCTATCATTGATCCCCATCCTTTTGATTTTATTTTGAGACATGGTCTCACTAAGTTGCCCAGGCTGTACTCAAACTTGTGATTCACGTGCTTCAGTCTTCCAAGATGCTGGGATTATGAGTAAGCCACCACACCCACTTGATCAAGGCTCAACTTATTTTCATCTAAACTGTTTTTTTTAACCTTTTTTTATGATAAAATAATATTCAGATACAGAAAATCACAAGAATCATTATATGGCTTAATGACAACCACTTGGATCAAGAAGAACTTTGCTGGTCTCTCCATGCTATAGTTTAGATCTGGAATATCCCCTAAAGGCTCATATGTTCAAGGCTTGGTCCTCAACATAGCAATATTAAGAGTAGGGTTTTGGAGAAGTGATTGGATCATAAGGGCTCTAACCTCATCAATGGACTAATCTATTGTTAGGTTCACAATTAAATGGACTATCAGGAGGTGGAGGAAACTAGGAAGTAGGGTCTAACTAGATGAAGCTGGTCACTATGGGCAGGCCCTGGAAAGGCATATCTTCTCCCAGGCCCCTTCCTGGCTCTGTCTGTTTCCTGGCCACTATGAAGTAAGCAGCTCTGTTCCACCACTTGATCCCTGCCATGATGTTCTGCCTCGCAAAGCCTCAAGCAAAACAGCCAAGTGACAATGGACTGAAACCTCTGAAACAGAGCCAAAATACATCTTTCCTCCTTGTTTTTCTCAGGTATTTTGTCAGTGACAAAACACTAACATACTGGATAAGCACTCCTAAAACTCAACTTCCCCTGTGAAAAATCATCATCCTATCTGAAAATTGAGCCTGGTATGATGGTACATACCTGTAATCCCAGCAACTTGGGAAGCTGAGGCAGGAGGATTGCAAGTTCCAAAGCAGCCTTAGCAAGGCCCTAAGCAACTCAGTGAGACCCTGCCTTAAAATAAACAAATAAACAAACAAACAAACAAATAAATAAATAAGAAAGGTAGGTTGAAATATGGCTCAATGGCTAAATACCCCTGGGTTCAATTCTTGGTACTAAAAAAAACCCAAAAAATTAACTTAAAAAAAATTGCAGGTCCTTATAGCTCAGAGGTAAAGCTGGTACTTAGCATGCACAAGGATCTGGGTTCAATCCCAGCACCAAAAGTTTCTTATTCCACACATTTATGATTCATTTTTTTCATTTTCTCTCAATTTACTGTTGAAAAATATTTTAGGCAGTTTTCATTTCTATGATAAAACAAATACCTTAGGAAAATTAATTTTAAAGGAGAGATTTAGTTTTTAATTTATGGTTTTAATCCAAGTTTGGCTGCTGGCTCCATTGCTTTAGGCCTTATATAAGGTAGAAAATCAAGGTGGCAGGAGTATATGGTGGAACAAAGTAGCTCACTTCAAATCAGACAGGAGGAGGAGAGAGTCTGGGGACAAGATACTCCCTTCAAAGAGATACCTTCAGTAACCAACTTTTTAGGAGGCTACATGCACCCCCTGAGATTTCCACCACTTCCCAATAGTGCCACCAACTGGGCACTAAGCCTTTAACACTTCGGCCTTTTTTGGACTTTCCAGATTCAAACTATGACAAGAAACTTGGGCCGCTGACCCATAGAAATTCCAACAGCCTGGTTTTGTAGACTGCATGCACTTGGTACATTTAACTATAATGCTGCCCTCTGTATTGGCTGTAATTTGGCAGCTGGGTCCAGAGACTAAACCAGACATCAGCTTGAGCCCCTTGTCAAGATTACAGAAGACATATAATGTTCTTTTTATGGTCTTCACAGCTTTTGATATGATGCTTAATGCATCATGGTGTTATAAAATAGTCTATCATTTCTTTCTTACTTTTTAGTTAAAAAGAACATCTATAAAGAGAGAACTATTTTCTTTTGTCCACTGTTTGATTACTCGGGGATACAACTGCATTGGACAGTCAGGATAAAATGCTTGATTCTGTCCCTTTACTAGTTTTACCAATATACCAATGTTTTTCTGCAATACAATGAATTGGGACTTTCTATCCTCTCAAGATGACCAATTATTTTTTTTAACTATCATAATGAACTCAATAGTACAAACTCATCTAGCATATTTACATCAATTCCAATTATTATTTTTGAAGCTTAAGTTGTCTCATCTTTGGCCAATGGAAGTCTCTTTAGGTTTACTTCTGTGTTCTTTTGACATGACCCTTGCTGAAGTGTAACAGGATACTCCAGGATTATCTTGAACAAACTTTACCTCAAGAAAATCACTTTCATATTAGGGGGTTTTATGGAGATACCTTGTAATAGTTTTAGTATAAATGCTGTTTTGGGGTTCTGGATTTGCTATTAAGTTGTTCTGTGTGTTTTTTTAACTAAAGTTTTTTTTTTTTAAAATATTTAGTTGTAGATGGGCACAATACCTTTATTTTATTTATTTATGTGGTACTGAGGACCAAATCCAGTGTCCCATGCGTATAGGACAAATGCTCTACCACTGAGCCACAAACCCAGCCTGTTCTGTGTGTTTTTATGTAGTTTCAGAAAGACTGAAAACCATGTTGCTGTGGCTGCAGCCATCTTCCTAATACGCTTCTGATGAAGACACAGTACTATGAAATCCAACCTACCAGGTTTCCAGAGTCAAACATACATAGACAAAAAATTAGGTATAGTTTTAGATTACTCTTACAAATGCCTTAAGAAGGTATCAAAGAGTGATATACTATCTATTAAAAAGTTCAATATAGCTGGTCTTCCTCCAGCACTGGATCAAATTACTGCTAATCTTGAATACCACATAAAGAAGCTGATATGTGGGGTGGGGATATAGCTCAGCTGGTAGAGTGCTTGCCTTGCATGCACAAGGCTGTGGGTTCAATCTCCAGCACTACAAAAAACAAAAAACAAACAAAAAAAGCTGACATGTGCTTAAGAGAACAGACTGTAGGAAAAATTTGATTGTTTAATAGTCATGTTCAATGTGTTAAGATAGTTATAGTACAAAAACACCCAGGAATTAAAACAGAGTAGAGCCACAACAAATTTTTGTATGTGTGTGAAACTGGGATTGAGCCCAGGGCCTTGCTCATGGCTAGGCAAGTGCTCTACCACTGAACTTCAACCCCAGTCCTCCTCATGCTGTACTTTTAAAATTATTCTTCCCATCCCTTTACTTTATGTTGAGTGCAAATATTTGAATTTACATAAGCTGAAAAGGAGAAGGCTACAACTTCCCTGTACAAACTAACAGAGCCAGTGTTAGGCTGCCCAAGTTCAAATTTGAGGGTCCTCTTCTTCCTAGCTGTGTGCCCACATGCAAGCTACTTAATTTGTCCAGGTACTGGTTTCCTTATTTGTAAATAAAATATATATCTAAGCTAGAGCGGAGCTATTCATGCTGAAGATTATGTAAGCAGTATCTCAAAGACAATGTAAGCATACAACATTATTAAATTTGACCTACTCTTTAAGGTCTTTTGTTGGGAGGTGGATAAAAGACAAACATACATAGAACATTTAGTACAATGTTGACATTTAGCTGTGGACAAGTATCAGTAGTAACTGGAACCACATCACAAGCTCTCCTAGACTAGTTTGGCATCTTGTGGAAGAGAAAGGCTATAAAGATCTCTGCAAACTAAATTGCTATGGAGAGTTGGAGAATTGACACACTCTTAAGGGAGGGCAGTGAAGGTATACTGCAGGACTTGCCATATGAAAGCTAATGCTTTTGGTGAGTTTATATATATATATATACACACACACACACACACACACACACACACATACATATTATGTATATATGTATGTATATATATATGTGTGTGTGTGTGTATATTTTTTTAAGTTTTTGATGGACCTTTATGTTATTCATTTATTTATATGTTGTGCTGAGAATCGAACCCAGTGCTTCACACATGCTAGGCAACTGCTCTACCACCCCAGCTCCTGGTGATTCTTATTGACAGGTAGGGATAAAAAGGCATTTACCAGATCAATAGATGCTTATGAGGTACCAGGGATGTGTGAATTTGCTCAAACAATGAAACCACATTAGGTATAGCAGCTGCAATTGGAGCCATGACCTAGTTAAGCTTTGATGATCTACTGTTATTCCCTAAGACCCATCTGTCTTCTATGCAGGTCAAACAAGAGATGAATAATTCTTGATAGTGGTATTAATCTCTATGATCCCTCTAAGACTGTGCTATTGTTTTTGATTTACTATTTTTCTAGGTAGCAGCAATTCTAATGGCTTCCATTAGGTCTTTCTTACTATAATAGCATTTGTTACACCAGTTAGGGAACCAATGTGGGGATTTTGCCTGCTCTTGCGTAGTTCATTCCAATTATGAATTCTAAAACTTGGAAATAACCGAATGATGAGTTTGGGGACCAACTGGGCCCACTGTGAGATGGACTTAAAGTAAAATTCGTTTGACTGATCACCTGACCTCCATAAGCACCTGCTTTGCCTGGTGGACCACAGAGATATTTTGGATTTCCCTGGACTAGTTCAGTTCAGAGCCAGTATCCAATAGTCCTGGAAAGATTTAATTATTTTCTTTTTCCAATGCACAGTAACTCTGTTAAAATGATCAAGGTCTCTTTGAGGAAGCTGGAAGAAAGATTAATAGTATAAGTTTTGGTAGTGTACCAGTGGACGTTCTTTAAGGAACCCATCCTCCTCTTCATTCAAGGAGTTTTGGGTCTAAGAACTGGTGCAAGTCTGGGAATTGATTGACGGGCTGTGAATCTCCACATTTATGTTTTGGTTTGACTTTTGTTCACATAACCTAGAACTTTTGTCTTACCAGATCACACAGAGGGGCTGGTGTTGTAGCTCGTGGTAGAGCGATTACCTAGCAAGTGTAAGGCACTGGGTTCGATCCTCAGCACCAAATAAAAATAAATAAATAAAGGGTATTGTACCCATCTACAACTAAAAAAAAACATTAAAAAAAGAATTTATAGACTTCCTATTATTTTACTTCCAGGAATACTATGATCAATGTCATAAGTCTGTGAAAATTAGACTATTCTGACTGCTGCTTTGAATCTATTATCCAATAACTACACCCACCTTGCCTTTAGGTTAGTAACATCACTTGATCCCTGTTGCCCTGGGATCCAATTACTGCCACTGCATATAGGTTCCCAATTCAAGGACCCAAGTTCCCACTATAAGGTCTAGCCTATAGAGAGTAATCTAGGCTCTTTGCTAGGGCTGCTTTCACAATTTCATTTCTTATAGTAATGGTAAAAGGTATGTCTCCTGGAGATGTAAAATTAATCATAACACTACTTCAAGTGGCCTCTTCCTGAATTCAACTAATGAGTAAAGAATAACAAAATAAAATTATAAACATTAATCTGTTGGGGGTGGAGAAGATAATATATTTCATGGAACCCCTTTAACTTGAAAAACATTTAAATTCATTAGACATTAGGCTTATAGAATAACAGAATCAGACATATACTACATACCAAGAGTTATTTCCTTTCACTATTTGAATTAATCATTTAGTTTTGACTACTGATACAATGGCTAAGTATTATTTGTATCTGTACCCAAAGTAAAATAATTATTTTAAAATAAAATTTTTCTTGGGCTGGGGATGTGGCTCAAGCAGTAGCGCGCTCGCCTGCCATGCGTGCGACCCAGGTTCGATCCTCAGCACCACATACCAACAAAGATGTTGTGTCCGCCGAGAACTAAAAAATAAATATTAAAAAAATTCTCTAAAAAAATTAATTAATAAAATAAAATAAAATAAAATTTTTCTTTCAACTTTAGAACTTCTGAGGATGCCTGAAAATTCTCATTTTTTAAACATTAAAAAAGAAATAATAATAATATATATGATTTAACATACATGTTTTATAAAGATATCTTTTCTCTATTCCCTATCCACATCTTTTTTCTTCTCCTACCGATTTATAATATCAATTTTAGAATTATTTTACAATTTCAATGAATTGAAGTTTATTCTCAGTCTTTATTTTAAAGATATTCAAGTGAATTTTTTTTTTTTTAAAGAGAGAATTTTTAAAATATTTTTAGTTTCAGCAGACACAACATCTTTCTTTGTATGTGGTGCTGAGGATCGAACCCGGGCCACACACATACCAGGCGAGCGCGCTACTGCTTAAGCCACATCCCCAGCCCTCAAGTGAAATATTTAGGGCAGTATTTTTTAAAAAGAGCTTTCTGGTTTTTAAAGTATCTTTTTTTACTTTGCCAATGAATCAGTGTTTCCCAACCAACATTTACGCTGTTCTACATACATGGAACAGAATCTTTCTTTCTGTCATTAGATTTCTCCCTCTTTCATTCTTGAAAGTTCCGTTCAAAACACACATCTCAGAGGTCACTGATGACACTTCCCATTATTTCCTCTTTAGAATCTGCTGCTGCATCTGATTATCTCTTTCAAACTTTCTGCTCTTGCCTCCAGAATGCTATACTGTCTTCATCCTTTTCCTGTGTATCTGACCTCTCTGTTTCTTTTACCTACTATTTTCTTCTTCAATTTGGTTATTCCCCAAAGCTTGGTGCCTTGAATGTTTCCTGTCTATAGATTCTCCCTCACTATTCTCTCAAAATCAGACATAATCTCTGTGCTAATAACTATCAAATATGTCTCCTGAATTCTGTTCTCACAGTATCTCTGGTTACACAATTTAGCATTTACTGGATATTTCTAAATGGATGCTTAATTCAAAACTTAATTAAAAAAACACTCATGGGGCTGGGGATTGTAGCTCAGTGGTAGAAAAATTGCCTAGCATCTGTAAACCCTGGGTTCAATCCCCAGAACCAAAACAACCACCACAAGAAGAAAAACCACTCAACATTATTCTTCCCAAATGGGTTCTTGTTATTTAACTTCAACTCCACTCAGTAGAATGAATAAATATCACAATCTCCCCAGCTAAAAAGATTAGAATCCCTGAAGCTCATTGCCTCTGTCAGAGGAGAATAATGGGATGTAGTGCGACTCTAGAGCAAACAGACCTGAATTTAATCCCAGGATTACTTGTTGTGTGATCCTGGATTATTTAATTACTCTCCAAGCCCAGATCTTCATCTGTAAAATGAGATTAATAATATCTATCCCACGGGTTGTGAGGATCAGAATGGTGAGATGTACACATAGGAGATGCTGGAGAAGAAATAGCCCTTCTTGTATCCAGTTAGTTACCAAATTCACCTAAGTACCCCTACTCTTAATTCTAACTCTTAGTTATGTCTGGATTACCTTGAAGACTGCCTTAAATGTAGCCTCTTCAATCTATCCTTCGTACTCTTGTCAAAGAATCTTCTCAAATTTCATCAAGTCATATTCACATTTATTTATTTATTGGTACTGGGGATTAAACTCGGGGCCTCATGCATGTTAGCCAAGCGCTCTTCACTGAGTCACCTCTCCAACCCCTCTAGCTCTTTTTATTTTGAGACATGGTCTTGCTAAGTTACCAGACTGGCCTAAAACTTGTGAATCTCCTGCCTCAGGCTCCCAAGTAGCTGGAATTATAGGTGTGTGCCACCACGGCTGCTTTATACTGATTCTTACAGTTCAGTGTTCAGTATACAGTTCCCTATTCTCTATCAATCAAGGCTTATTCAGCTTTCAAGGCTGTCCAAAACCCACCTACTCAAATCTATTTCAGCTATTACATCTCATTAAATATGCTGTCAGTAAACTCTTCATTGTCATACCCACAAACCAAAGTCTTCGCTACCACCATGCTGTTGCTTCTGGAGGGTCCTTCTTTCTGCTATTGATATTCCCTTTTTCCTGTCATATTTAAAATCTATACCAAGTATAACTTACTTATGTGTAATATGTTGGTTTTCATTTCCCTCTACTTTTTAAATTAATCCTCTTTCCCTATTTTGAGTTTGCAGTTTAGTACCGATAATCCTACTGTGGTATAGCACCATGTAACTAAGAATACAAAATATTCAGATGGACTAAATGAGAAAAAAAATGAATTAGTATTAAATGCTCTAAATTGACTAACTTGAGTTTTAAAAATGTAAGGTCACCAGGTACGGTGGCGCATGCCTGTAATCCCAGTGGCTCAGGTTCAAAGCTAGCCTCAGCAAAAGCGAGGCGCTAAGCAACTCGGTGAGACCCTGTGTCTAAATACAAAATAAGGCTGGAGATGTGGCTCAGTGGTCGAGTGTCCCTAAATTCAATCCCTGGTATCTCCCACCGCCCAAAAAAGGTAAAAGTGTAAGGTCTTACACTGTTTGTTATTGTTCATATTGTATAAATTTTTATTAGCCCAATTCAGTGGAAGTTTCTTAAAAATAAAAACAAATGACTTTTTTTTGCACTCCCATAAAAATTTAACACAATAGACACTTAGTCTAATTGATAATATTTTCTGATAATGTTACATAATTGATAAAACTCTTTTAGAGTAAAAACTTTAGCATTAATTTTTATTTTGACCAAGTTTATTAGTACATGCCTGTCATCCTTGGTATTCAGGAAGCTGAGGCAATAGGATCTCAAATTCACGGCTAGCCTAGGCAACTTAGGTAGACCCTGTCTCTAAATAAATAAATAGGACTGGGAATGAAGCTCAGTGGTAGAGCATAAAATATATATATATTGAATAATAGAAAGTAATTATTTTAAGGCAAGGTAGATATATCTATTCTGCCCAGGAAATTTTTCTTTAATATTTCACCTTAGGATGATGCTTCATCCTTCCTGTTCTCTTCTCCCGGCTTAGAACTATACTACAGTAAAATTCTAAACAACTGTTGTAAGTCTGTGTCATAGTGTTTAACAGATAACAGATCAAATGATTTTTAAAATGTGACAGCATGTTTCTAATCAATATCAGATGTAATATAATTTTCAGCATCTTCTATGGACAAAATCCTCAAATATGCCTACCATAATCTGCTGGTGTATAATTCACAAGTTCAAATTTCCAGTGTTTATAGTGCGAATAATTCTGGTACATGTCAAATATTTCTCGGGTAAATTGCTGACAGATATCACCTACAAGAAAACATAAAAAACAGTTAGTACAAAGCTTTTAAAGAGAGCTATCCTTAGAAATGAGTTCCTTAGGAAATGAGAAGTAACTACTTCCAAAGATGAACTCATTTAGTGGACTTTAATGTTGTAGTGATGTCAAATCAAGGTAAACTTCAAGAGTTTTTTAGGTCATTTACAATAATGTGATTTTACTGACCTCCAGTAGTTCTTCCAGATGTCACCTCTAAAATAACATCATTTTGGTCGTATTTCTCTTTTGGCACTAGACTCTGAAAAAGCTGGAAAAGATTTTCGTTAGCATATTATTATTACTTGAACTTAGATAAAAGCCCTTAAATCATTAAAAAAAATCAGTAATTAAAAAAATTATATAGTATCCCCAAGAGGTTAGTCCTAAAATGCTATAATGAGTAGATCAAATTAGACTAAAACAGGTGATCAGTTCATGTTAACAATGAAGTTACTTGTCCAGATATTCTGCACTGCTATCAGATTAATTTTCTAAAATGCAGAAGTTTAGATCAAAGCCCAGAATGTTCCATTCAATTTTCTTCAGATTTTGCCTCTCATAATTAGTTCTGAACAGTAGCTTCTTTCATCTAATGAATGAAGTAAGGCTTTCAAAGTTTTCATTTGGGAAAAATACATACATACAATTGCATATTCTCCCCTCCCATAAGTGTCAGTGGATATAGCATGCCATGTCTTGCCATCTCAGTGGGGACACTCTTTAAACACTAGCTTGAGGGCTCCTGAAATAAAACTCAAAAGAGTTTCTATGCCATGACAAGGAAAAAAAAGAAAAAGTGGATTCCTAATAAAGAAAGCAATCAACTTTCCTTTTAGGATAAAAGGGACAAAATTTCCTTAATATTCAAAGTACCTACATGTCATGACTTCTACTGCCAGTTTCTGAAATACTCTATCTCTGCTAGAAATGAGATAGTACATGAGAAAGAATATTAAACTAAGTGTCAGATACTTTAGTTTGCCTTTGATTAACTGGTTAAAGCAGTGATAAAAATAATTGATAGGGCTGAGGTTGTAGCTCAGTGGTAAAGCACTTGCCTAACATGTGTGAGGCACTGGGTTTGATTCTCAGTGCCACACATAAATAAATAAAATAAAGGTCCATCAATGACTAGGGGGAAAAAAAAAAGAATAACTGATACTTCTACTTCATCCCTCCAACCCCTGAAAGAGCCATTCTCCTGGATTCCCAGAGTAAGAAAGCTGAAGGTAAGATGATGGTAAATATGGTAGAGGGAAATGTATTCTTCACTGTCTTTGGAGATAAGTCATCCACTGAGTTAGAAGAAAAAGAAACGACCTTGAAAGAAAAATGTCCCCTATGTTTCTAGGAGATACCAGCTGATACTGATGTATATAGTATCATGAACCTTGAGATCCCAGTATCTTATTAAACCTAACTAAAGACTTGTATTAACCAACTGTCTCTAATGCCCCTGGATTCCTTCCATTCTATCCAGAGTGCAAATTTCCACTATGACTCACATCATCTCCTTCAACATTTTAAAAACTCCTGATTGTTCCCCATGGCAGACTAAATTTCTTTACTAGCATGTCTTCTCTTGCCTGGCAAGTTAACAGATTCAGATTTTACTTTTTATTTATTTAATTATTTTTTGTTCTGGGCACCTCTGTTTTATTGTTCAACATTCCAATGTCTTCAATCTCATTGTATAACAAATCCCAGCACTAAACCTAGCATAATTATTTATCATAAGATAATAAACCAGTGTTTGGGAAGTACTTTAGGCACCAACTCAGTCTAGCAGGAGGAGTATTTCTTAATGTTAACATTATTGAGATTAGTCTACTTCCTAAAACATACCTCACTGTACAGCATGTTGATTTTTTCATCAATGATTTGCCTTTCTTCCAATGCAAGTTCTTGTAACTGCTTCTCATCTTGTTTATTTAGACCTAAAAACAAGCAACAGGAATTATGGTAAAGTTTTTAAACAGTTACAGAAAAAGTCTTAAATAGCCACATCATCTTTTGTCTATGTTTTACTTCAGTTAGGAAGGCAAAGCAATTAAAATACTTGGAGAACGTCAATTAATGAGTTTTGCTAAGCATCTTGACCATCCCCCTCTGTAGATTGTGATTTGAATATCTGTTAAGTAAGCACAGAAAACAGTGATTAACTATGGGCTGGAGCTGGAGCTCAGTGGGTAGAGAACTCACCTAGCATGTATGGGTTTAATCCTTAGTACCACATAAAAATAATAAATAAATAAAATAAAGGTATTATGTCCATCTACAACTAAAAACATATTTTTTTTTAAAAAAGAAAATAGTGATTAACTAAAGAGGTCTTAAAAGGAACTGGCTAACTAAATATAAACCCAAATAAGGTTAAGTTTTGGAGCAAACTGGGGTGATCATTTCCCTTTGAAGGTGGTAGCCATAACTCAGTACTCTTGTGATGTGTTTCTAGCAGTGGCTAGAACTCATTTGTTTAAAAGAAGTCATATATAAGAAGTCTTGAAATCTCTTGACACATTCATATCTAGCACATTTTTTAAAAACACTATGTGGGTCAAATAAAATATAGCCTTGTAATCTGTGCTACATGGAAACAACGGTCCTTTTCATATATCTCAAAAGCAGAGAGTTCAATTATGCAACTCTAGCAAAACAAGATAACAATGACAGAATGGCTAAGTATGGTGAATCCCATAAACTTTGACTCCATTGCTCTAGATGTTGAGCATGTATCAGTTGTGAGAGTTGCAAACGAAAGTAGAAATTATTGATTCTCAATAATTATTAGGAAGAAAATAGAAATGAAGAAATAATTGTAAAAGAAAGAAGGCTCTATAAAATTCTTCTCCAGTCACAAAAGTCTGGGGATTCTGTGCCTCATTCACGTTTTCAGTATTTAACACTTACTATGTGCTAGACATACTTCTAGTTGTTGAAGACTCAAGGAATAAAATATGGGTCCAAGTCTCAAGTGGGTCAGTCTGGGAAAGATGGACACATGCACACAATCATGGTACATGATAAGCAAAATGCCATTGTGTCACAGGACACAAATGAAGGGGGATAATCCAAATTTCAGCATTTCAGGAGAGCTTCCTGGTTAAGGTATTTTCTGAGCTTGTAAATCATCTGCTGCAGAATTGTAATGTCACTACTGGTATCACTTTGCGCACATACACCACAAACCAGGCTGACATAACCCTTACAGTCCTGGTTCAAAGGTATCAGGAAAATTTTCTTTTCTAATCACATAATTTTTTTGTGGTCTCTTATTATTTGCTATAATTCTGTAAAATCCAGTCCAGTTCAATTTTATTAAATCAGTAAGTATTTGGGAGCCTATTATATCCTATGATTGGCATAAAAGATAAAAAAAAAAAATAAGACTCAAGCCCTGTTCTTGAGGAACAGACAATGAAGTCAGGGGTGGAGACTTCTTAGCAAATACCTTAAGGAGACTAATCTCTTAGTAGTTATCTTTAGAAGCTGAAATATGTCAAATACTCTAAGTACAGAGTTCTTTTCTTGCCAAGTGTTGAGCTTACTGCTTGTAGGGTTTTAAAAAAAGATAGTTCATTAAAGCTTTAACGTAAAAAGCCAATCCTGTACTTACACACACATATCTTTTACTTACTTTCACACATTGATTCTAATTCTTTAATTGTTTGTTCAGCCTCCTGAATTTCTTGGCAAATGGCTGCAAGTGGTGCCAACTCAGCATGCCTTTGGTTCAAGGACTTTTGGTCCCTTTCATTCAAAGATTTATCCTGCAAACACTGACCAAGTGCTTGATACTCCTTATTTAAGTCTTCCACATATTTCTGTAGTGCTTTATGCTTCCAGAGCATCCTGGTATCCTGATGACAATAACTCCTGGACCAATTCTTACTTAACAGATGATGGAGAATGTGATTCCTATTTTGTCTAAATGGTTTTGTAGACAGATGTATTTGTCTAAACTGATGAGAATGCAGGTGTATGTGATGCTGGGGATAAGCATTAAGAGATGAATGTCTAAAAAGCCAAACACACAGGTGACGATTCATTTCAGCACCTGAAATACAATAAACACACTTGAAAAGAAAATTAAACTCTAAAGATATATGGTACAATAGAGCTGGAACTTCAAATAAATCATGCTTTGCTCACTTTATCAGCCAGCTCTAAATACAGCCCCAAAGTTCCAACAACTCATAAGAATTCTTCAAACTTCTGAACAACAACACATTAAAATAAATGAAAACAGCATCCTTTTTCCACCCCACCCAACACATATAATTAACAAAGGCAAATGAGTGAGAAATATACAAATATACAAACAGAATGGGCTAAATTAGCTATTTACTAGAAAATATCCAGGGTCAAGAATTGTCTGTCAATAAACATTTGGAAGCTACAAAACAACTGTGCAAACTTTAGGTGGTTGGTTCATGGTTGTCGCCTTTTAAAGTTTAAAGGAAATACTATTGTCTAATTCTTTTCATTCTAGGCATTGAAATGTCCTATGAATTCAGGTACCTTTATTGTGATTATTCACTAACTAGATAGAGGTAGAGCTGTTATTTGAATGCAAGTTGTCTACTCCAAGATTAATACTTTGTCATTCTCAATTCTGCAGTCACTTGTAGACGAGATCCTCAAGAAGAAAACTTCAAATACTAAGACAACAAGAAAGTAGGTCCGGTTAACAAGGGACAATAATGATAATTAAGTGAAAAAAAGCAGATACAAAATAATATAATTTCAGTTATGTTTTCAAAACATTCTACAATATATGGGGAAAAAACTCTACTGGAAGTATGAAAGTATTTTTAAAAAAGAAAACCAAAAGCTGAACATACCAAACTGTTAATAAGAGGATCTCTAGAGATTATGTACATTTTGCTTGATTTGCACTTTTCCAAGTCTTTTATATATAAAGCACACATTACTTTCATAATTTTAAAAAGGTTACTTTAAAAAATTATAGGTTAGAAGAAATTGGCTCTGTACAATAATTACCTGTTCTCCCCTCAGATAATCAAGAGCCAACAAAAGTACACAATGATTTTATTAAGTAAGAAAAAGAAGAGTTGGGTGCTGTGGCACATGCCTGTAATCCCAGAGACTTGAGAGGCTGTGGCAGGAGGATCACAAGTTCAAGGCCAGCCTTAGCAACTGAGCAAGACACCGTCTCAAAATAAAAAATAAAAAGGGTTGGGGATGTAGCTCAAGGGTTGAGTGCCCCTGAGTTAAATCCCCAGCACCCAACAAGAAAAAAAGAAAGGGAAAATACAAAGCGTTCTAAGAAAAACAGTTTGCCTCTAAAATTCTAAGATTTGACATTGAAATAAGAGTTAAATTTTGGCACCATCTCCAGACAGGAGGGGTATTTTACATATTAGCTCATTTCATCTCTCTAAATCTGCTAACAGCATTATTGCTTAGGAAATAAAATATTCAAAATGGTCTCTAAAATATTCAACATTTAGGGTTCTACTGATTTAACATACTGAATCTCATTTGGAAATGAATTGTGGAAGCATGCACCATTATTCAGGGCCACAAATTTAACACTCCTCCAGAAGTTTCTGTGCATCAAGCTCATCAGAGTGAGTGTGTCCCCCATTTGATAGTGGAAAAAATAAAAAGATGACAAACATTTTTGATAAAATACTTCCAGCTAAAATTTCCATTTTATGAACAGCAGAAGAGTGAATAACTCTCAAGGTCATGAACTTCAATGTTAAGGGATAAAACCGAGACATTTACTCTCTAGGGTCATTTATATCTGATTCGAGCAAAATTTCTCTAGCACCCAAAATAACAGTGTGATTCTGCCATCTTAAAAGCAATTCTCGGTCTTAGCGTGTCAAAAGTGATGGTAAGCCGGCGCTAAAGCAGCACGTGCAAACCATACTGTACAACTCTGTTATGGAGCGACTCCATAGGAAGGCACCACCAGGAGGTGGACGGGAAAACGAGTCCCGGTAAGACCAGAAGAGAATTGTGAGTACCTAAGAAAAAGAAAAGAAGGCATTAAGTTTCCTTACTGAGGCGGAACCTTCCGTGACCCTCTATCGTTCAGCTGGTCAGACCCGGAACACTATCACTTTGTGAATTACTCCTTCCGGTTGGCGCTTGCCTCAGGCTCCTCGTCGGTCAGGACTCTTCTGCAGAGTAGTTTTTGAGCGTCCCTAACTATGAGCTAGAATGAGAGAAGTGACAAAGCGAGACAAATCTTCACGAAACGAAAACGCGCTTTATTTATCCGGAGTGGGAGTTCAGAGCGTGTGTTCCAATGGTGGAAGGACGGAAGGACACAGCGGACAACGAACCATAATTCCCAGGGGCTACCACCAAGGGATCCTGGGAGTTGTAGTTTGTCCTGCAGAAGGCCCCCCACCACCACTACTTCCACACCTGACCTTGAGCCAAAGGTGGAGGAGCTTTGATTTTCACCGGCATGTGCAAACCAAGAAGAGAGATGGGTCTCTGTTCTGATTAAGAGTTCAGGATTTACAATATATTATAGGTGAAATTACAAGACCTTGCTTTTCGGAACCCCTGATTTTTTATGAGTAAGCACTTTCATCATCCAAATTTAGGAGATACTGTATGTTAATTGCTATATTTTCAGCTCCCAAAACTTGAGAAAATATCCAATGATTAAAAGAAACCTTAAACCTAAAAGTTACAACAGGATGCAAAAGACAGGTAAATACACACATAGGTATATGTATTTATATCTCCATAAGGTAATGACTATAATGTTGCATGCACATATAGAATTCAGGGGCTCAACCAGTATTTATAGCTTGAAATCCACCTATTAAATAAATATTTTTAAAATTCAATTAAACAATTCCAAGAAAATGCGAACATATTACTATACTTTGAATATTTTAGTGGGATATAATCCTTGGTTATCACATTTACAAGTCATTTGATTTCTGTGCCTCCATTTTTCTTTCTGAAAAGAAAAGGTGAAAAATACCCCATAGTATTGAATTCAGAAGATTTTTTAAAAGTTATGATCACATACATAAAAAAGAGATTATCCATAAGTGCAAAATAAAATGGAGGATTGGTTAGCTACTTAAACGTACCTACTTCTACCTGCTACATACTAGATACTTTTCTAAATGATTTAAACCTATTAATTCATTTGCTACTCATAACAATCCTAAAATTTGCTCTTTACAGAAGAGAAAACTAAGGCACAGAGGGCTTAAGTAATTTATACAAGGTAAAAGACCCAATAAATAACAGAGCAGAGATTCAGGCAAAGCAATCTGTTACATAATCTGTGGCTCCTAAACTCTGAGATGGTTCCCTTCCCACTTCCAAAAATTAAAAAAAAAAGTTAGAAAAGAGAAAACTTTCAATTGTTCATTAAAAAATATTAAACACCACTATGTGTTATTTACTGTTCTAGGCATGGGGATCTGGCAATGAACAGAAAAAATAAAATAAAAAAGCCAGCCAGGTATGGTTTACACACCTGTAATCCCAGTAGTTTGAGAGGCTGAGGCAGGAGGATTGAGAGTTCAAAGCTAGCCTCAGCAATTTAGCAAAGCTGTAAGCAATTTAGTGAGACCCTGTCTCAAAATTTTAAAAAAGTAAATAAATAAAAATAAAAAAATAAAAAGGATTGGGGGGGTTGGGGTTGTGGCTCAGTGGTAGAGTGCTCACCTAGCATGCACGAGACACTGGGTTCGATCCTCAGCTCCACATAAATGTAAAATAAAGATACTGTGTCCACCTAAAACTTAAGAATAAATATTAAAATAAATAAATAAATAGGATCGGGGATGTGGCTCAGTGATTAAGTACCCTTGGATTCAAAGAACAAACAAACAAAAATATCTTTGGCCACATGGAACTTATGTTCTAATAGAGAATACATTTCAAGGGCTGGGTCTGTAGCTCATTGGTAGAGCGCCTGCCTCTCACGTGTGAGTCACTGGGTTTGATCCTCAGCACCACATAAAATATTGTGTCCAATTACAACTAAAAATATGTATATGTATTATTCATTATAATATCATATATATGGGAATACATTTCAAATTCTACATAAATCATTCTAAATATTATCTGTGGGGGGAGGGGTACTTCTAGTACTAGTGCTTTACCATTGAGCTACATCCCCAACCCTTTTTATTTTTTATTTTAAGACAGGGTCTCTGGCGGGGGGCGTTGGGGGGGAGGCTGGGGTTGTGGCTCAGCGGTAGAGTGCTTGCCTAGCATGTTCAAGGCCCTGGGTTCAATCCTCAGCATCACATAAAAAATTTTTAAAAATAAAGGTATTGTGTCCAACTATAACTAAAAAAAATTAAAAAAAAAAAAAGACAGGACCTCACTAAGTTGGTGAGGCTGGCCTTGAACTTGTGATCCTCCTTGCCTCAGCATTCCAAGTCACTAGAATTACAGGCATGCACCACTGTGCCCAGCCATTCTCTTAAATTATTCAAGAAAGTCCTTTAATTCTTTGATTTGTGTATGCAACTAATAACTTAAGTATCATATGTAAAACTATTCTCCTTAAAAAGCAAGCCCTCCTTAAAAAAAAAAAAGTTTATCTTACAGAAGTAGAGAATAGAATAATGGTTACCAGAAGCTGGGAATGTTGGCACAGGTTTGCTGGAGAGAGGATGGTGAATGGGTAGAGATGTGCAGTTGGATAGGAAAATAATTTTTAATATCCTATAGCGTATTCTTGATTGACAAGAATTGATTGTTATTTCACCCACAGCCCAGTTGTGTCAAGGCAGTAGGGTAGATTGCAGACAGGCCAAAGAAAGTGCCCAAAGACAGCATGGGAAAGATGATTTATTAGGGAAAGCTTATAAAAGATCAGTAACTGCTCCAAGAAGAGTTTAGTAGTGACAGGCTGCCCGCATCTCCATCCCTTACAGTGCTGTGCCAAGCAGTACCTCCTCTCTTTCACAGTGTTTTGTCCGATGGCAGCTAGCTGGACAAGTGACATGTATCCTTTCCATAGTGCCTTCAGTTTTACACCCATCCTCTTTCAGAGAGGGACTTTTTTGTGTTTTTTTTTTTTTTTTTTTTTTTTTGGAGCCAGGGATTGGATTTAGGGGCATGCGACCACTGAGCCACATCCACAGCCATATTTTGTATTTCTTTTAGAGACAGGGTCTCACTGAGTTGCTTAGCGACTGGCTTTTGCTGAGGCTGGCTTTGAACTCTTGATCCTCATGCCTCAGCCTCCCGTCAGAGAGGGATTTTAGAATTTAGGCTGCAGAAGCTGTGATAACATCAGCATTAGTTTGCTTGTCTGACAAGCATCCCAAGGAGCAATTGTCCCAGTGTATATGCAAAAAGTAGTTTTTTATAGATAACACTAACTTGTTCTAATTCCCAGGGTACATGAAAGCCTCTGTTCTTTAAGATAATATATATCTGGACTTTCTAGCCCAGGCTTGCTCTCATTGTTCCCTTAACTTGGTGAGGTCTTTGGGAGCAGAAAGTAGGCATTCAGGGACATGATGTTTTACAGTCCCCCTTTGCTTTAGGGACTATATAATTGTATATTTCAAAAGAGCTAGTAGAAAAGATTTTGAGTGTTCCCAATACAAATAATAAACTCTTGAGGTAATTGATAGGCCAATTACCTTACATTATACATATGTATTGAAATATAATACTACACCCCATAAATGTGCACAATTATGTGTCAATTAAATATAAAAATTTAAAAGAAGTTACAGTACAATTTTTGCCAAAAAGTCTTTAACAAGTCTTTGAAAGCCTTCCTATGAACTGCATTGTTCATAGCCATATTATTCATGTATATATTCAAAATTTGTATATTGAAGCCTTATCTCCCCATGTGACTGCATTGAAGATAGGACCCTTAAGGAGATGATTAAAGTTAAATGAAGTTAGAAGGGTGGAGCTCTGATCCAGATCCAATAAGATTAGTGCCTTCTGAAAAGAGACACAAGAGAGCTTTCTCAGTCTTTCTGCTCATACAGAAGGGTCATGTACCTGAATGCCAAAAGAAGGCATCCTAGAAAGAAACCTAACTTGCTGATTTGTACCTTGATCTTCCACTTCTCAGCCACCAAAACTGTGAAAAACAAATTTTTGTTTTTAAAACCACCAGGCCATGGTATTTTCTTACAACAGTCCAAGTAGACTAACATTTAAATATATAAAAATTCATTGAGATATACATGAAACTTCATGCACTTTATTGCATTATTCCTCAATTTGTAAAAATCTTTACAAAAAATTATTCTTTTTTTTTTTAAAGAGAGAGTGTGCGGAGAGAGAGAGAGAATTTTTTTTTAATATTTAGTTTTTAGTTTTCGGCAGGCACAACATCTTTGTTTGTATGTGGTGCTGATCAAACCCGGGCCGCACGCATGCCAGGTGAGCGCTCTACCGCTTGAGCCACCATCCCCAGCCCTACAAAAAATTATTCTTAAGCAGATATGGTGGCCCATGCCTATAATCCTAGCATCTTAGAATGCTGAGGCAGGAGGATCTTGAATTCAAAGCCAGCCTCAGCAACTTACTGAGGTCCTAAGCAATTCAGCGAGACCCTGTCTCTAAAATATAAAAAGGGCTGAGGATGTAGCTCAGTGGTTAAGCATCCCTGGGTTCATTCCCCAGTACCAAAAACAAACAAACAAAAAAACAACTTATGCTTTATTTTATTTGTTTATTTTTATGTGGTGCTGAGGATTGAACCTGGTGCCTCACACTACCTCACATGTGCTAGGCCAGTGCTCTGTCATTGAGCTACAGCCCCAGACAAGAACTTATTCTTTTTTTTTCTTTAATTTTTATTGTTGGTTGTTCAAAACATTACATAGTTCTTGACATATCATATTTCACACTTTGATTCAAGTGGGTTATGAACTCCCATTTTTACCCCATATACAGATTGCAGCATCACATCAGTTACACATCCACTGTTTTACACATTGCTATACTAGTGTCTGTTGTATTCTGCTGCCTTTCCTATCCTCTACTATTCCCCCTCCCCTCCCCTCCCCTCTCATCTTCTCTCTCTACCCCATCTACTGTAATTCATTTCTCCCCCTTGTTTTTTTTCCCCTTTCCCCTAAGAACTTATTCTTGATACTATAAATACTGCTTTCTCCTGTAAATTTTCAAAGAAAGAAAATAATGTGGTCTATTTATATTTATTTGCATGCAAAGATATTCACATTATATCATTTTTATATTTATTTTTTAGTTATAGGTGGACACAGTGTCTTTCTTTTATGTGGTGCTGAGGATGGAACCCAGTGCCTCATGCATGGTAGGCAAGTGCTCTACCTTTGAGCCA